TATTACCCCATTTGTTGTCTCTCTAATTGGTCCGAAAAATTCGTCTCTTTCAAAGAGACAACAGGCTACGTTCTAATAAATTGCATACTACCTGTTTCTCTATTGTTGTAATGTTCTTTTGAAGCTTCAGTAAATATTTTTCGTCTTTCCTGAACCTTCAGGAGTTTACGTCGCCTGTATAGTTTAACGCCACCAATAAAGATCAGGAATATGAGTGTCATGCAAGAGACGATCTAATCATGAGGTAAAATATTTGAAGCTATTTTCTGTCATTTTGTTTGTATGTATTAGTCATATATTTATTAGACATTTCGGTTTTATTATTTTCTAAGCTTCTATTTGCTATGGAATTTTCTATTAACAAAGTACAAATCGATTATTTGTGTACCCATTATTCCGTTTATTCCCACTTTTGGCGTTGTTGTTCCGTGTTAATAGTGTTACGCATTGGTCTGTTGCTTCGAAAGGACTGATAATGCATATCGTAACACCAATTTCTGTTTTGTGTACTCTGCGGCATCGACAAAGTTTCACTCCTTGCAAGCTCACTTCTTCATTCACGATGTCAGGCGATATCCATGTTTCAGTCGGGATTATGATATATGCGGTTTCATAGTCAAGGCAGAAGTGAGTCAGTGAAACCCTTTTTTCAAACTTCTTTATGAGGAGTAAGTTTGAAACTTTGTCCGAGGCTTTTGAGAATTCAATTGATTTTACATGGTTGTTCTTGCTTGGTCAGAGCAGATCGTCAAGCTGTGAGGAGATTAAACACATACAATCTGCTTTTCTTAAACTCGAGTTGGGCTTCATGGTGAATATTGTTTTTATCCATTTGCACATTGACCACTCGTTCCATTACTTTCAAGAGTATTGGGAATAACGTATCTTATCTGTAACAGGCTTGATTCTCTTTATATCCCCTTTGAAGATTGGAGTGAGAGTGGCCTGCTTCCATTTTCTTGGGAGTTGCTGTGAATTTAATGAGTGCCTGAACGGACCACATGTTAATTTACTGAGGCCATCCATCCACTGTTTCAGGGTTATAGGTTGGATTCTGACACATCCTGATGACTTTTCTGAGCGCAAAGATTTTAGTACTGACCTGGCAGATTGCTGCATAGGTCCCATACCATCAAATATCATTAAAGTTAAGGAATTGACATAATCCTCGGCTTTTCTCCTTACCCCAATAGTCGTTAATTTACCCCCAGAAGAATATGTACACTGGATGCCCTCCCAGTGTCTATCCTACAGGACTTCAACACGACTCCGACCAAAAACACGTGACCGCCCTAGTTAGAATATAAGTATACTTCCATGCCGACAACTGGCAACAATCGCAATAATAAGGACATGAGTTTACATAACTCACCTACTACTCATTAAACTATCGATTGGTCTGACAACACTTTGGTGTTGAGTATGTTTCTTAATGACAAGTAAGAACCACAATAATAATCCAGAAGCGAGATTTTCCAATTGTGTTAGCCTTGAACTTTTAATGGCTGTGGCAAGCCGCTAATGGAACCACTGTATATATGTTTTATTCCATTTGATGACATTGAAGGATAGAATGTCGAAGTCTCCTGCTAGTAGTAATTGATCTAACGCTAATTTTCATTTAAATATTTTGGGCTTTATTAAGTCCAGACAGCTTTGCTAGGATTGTACCTGTAGCAACTCACGTACAATTGAGTTTGTTTACATCTAATTTGGTTAAGCCCTTTTGTTAACCTATTTAACGGACAGTCATTCGTACAACAACCTCTCTATATTATTGTACCATTATTATGTACGCTTGAGCATTGCTTACTGTCTACGTATGTATTCATTCTGCTAGCCTTACTATTAATCGCTAAATTGATTTAATGATCCATGCATTTCCATATATATATATATATATATATATATATATATATATATATATATATATATATATATATATATATATATTAATCCTGTTCACTACACTGCACTCGCTTACTTGGTCGATTAATCTCTCGCCCATTCGACTCTCACGCTCACTCGCCTGCTTTACGGCACCACTCTTTCATGCTTGCTTAACGTGCCTGTAAATTTGAATATCTGTGTGTGGTCCAACAATAAACGCAATCAACCCTTCATATTCGTCTTCTGATTTATTCATCGTTAGGACGTTATCGAGTAACGGTTATCAGGACGAACAATATACGAAGTTTAGGGATAATATCGATCACCACATTCCTATTATAGGAATTGTAAAATATTTGCCCCACTGATGTTTATCAAAATCTGTCCAACTTTCTATTAACCTGGCGTCCGATACGAACGTTAAGTGGAATAAAGGTTTCTTCGTAGGTCTGTCTACCATCCTAATAGTTTTGTGAGCTATGTGATTGCTAATCCCCCTCTTCATGTGCACACACTGCCCCTCAAACATTTGTTGTAAACTTAGTGACCGTTACAGTGTAGTTGCTTTTACATTTTCGAATTCTCTTCGAAATTTAAAGTTACTACAGAAGTCTCGTCTTATCTAATCCATACTAGTATTTGGAATATTAACGGCTAAATGTCTCTTCTTGCCGGTACCGTTCTGTCAGTTACGCCAAAAAAATAAGTTTATACATGCTCCATCATTTTGTTAATTTCACAGTTGGATTCACGGGTCGATCTTAGCTAGATTACCACTGAAAACGTGGTAGCACTGAATGATCGTCCTATTATGGCACTCTACAGCAGTGCATACCCACGATCTCGTACGCAGGACTTGAACCGAGGACCTTCTGTTTCGTGTACGAACGCTTCACCACCAGACCACTGTAATTAACACCCAAAATACAACAATGATGACAGATGATAGAAAGGGAAGTCGATGAAGATAGTTTTGAATATCAATTCAGATTGCTAATGATTTTCTGTGATACTGTGCTTGCTGCAGCCATTATGTCTGATTCACTGCATAGTACCACTAACCACATACGATGCAAAATGAAGTTAGTTAACGAGTATTAGTAAATAGTAAAACGTAATATACAATAGTAACTGAGTAATATTGAGGTGAAGAACAAGCGTATGAACACTATCATCTAACTGACAGAACTCAACACACATCTTTTGATTTGCCATGACGTATCTCTAACTTGTTATATTTTATATAGGCCTATTGTTAATCAGAGAGTGACTGATAAATGCATGTTGTAAGAAAGAGTTCAAAACATACGACGATTAAGGAATAACTGATAATGACACTTGATCCTCCCAGGAAACCATTATTTTGTCATTATCTCTCTAAAGCCTTGATTTTCATTCTCTTGGAGCAAACTTAAAGGAAATCTTGAAGTATAACTTTAACTATGATTCGTTCGAATTCTCCAAGTGCATTATAATTTTATCTTGCTTCAATTTTTTACGACTATTTATCATATGAACGTGCGTTCTCTGTTTTATACCAATAAGCTCTCCTCGAAAGCCCGTCTTTTGGATTGGTCGGGATTACAACATGAATGAGAGATATGTCATCCACATATTTCGATCAAAGCTTTTATCACACAAACCCACTTTTTCCCAAGACATATTGTCCATGCATAATACTCTCTACTATGAATACTATTATCATCCCCACTACTCTAGCACGTGTCTTGATAATTTCACTGAGTTGAGCTAATGTGACGTTACGACTTGAATGGATGCACATACGTGTTCGACTCTGGCTTGTTTAGAACTGATAGAATAAAATCGAGGCTAGAAGTTCCCATAGCCGGGTTTAAGACATACCAATAACTTGTTAGTTAGTATTGAATCTCACAGTATTTTTAACACACAGCTAGTGGCTTATATTAATTCCATGTAGAAAAGAAAAATCATACATCAGTTTAATCACCACGACGTTTTGTCCGAAAAACAAAGGAGTTTTCTCATAACTGCGTATTAGTATGTCTTTTTATAAAACCTGAATATGATGCATAGATTAGTAGAGACAGTCTAGTAACCATGAATACCGTTAAACTTAGAAAAGTATACAAATAAGTGTATTATGAATTTTAAGTTATTGGGATAGAATCAAACCAACACTGAAGGACTAGACAGGTATCACACTGCTCACTATTTATTTATAAGTCAATTGTAAATATCTCAACCTTAAAGGTGAGTTACGATCCGAATAGATCAGTGGTAACATCTCTGATTGTGAAGCTAAATGACAAAGATTCAAATTCCACATGTCATATAAACTACCTCAAGGTTACACAAAGTACAACTTACCGGCAACTACCAACCACTACGAAACTTATTGTCTTTAAAAGATTAGATATACACCCCCTACCCATCATGTAACATCTTAACATAGTTTATGTGATGCTAAGTAATTTAGACTAATGGTCACATCGTAACTTGGTGGATACAATTCAATCAGAATCTAAAAAAAGGACTAGATTGCCATAAGATTGGTTACTACACAGTGATTGATCAATTGTAAATATTAAGAAGTAGTTGATAAATGCAACATCTGGAACTGAAAACGATTGTCAATCAACACCAAGATCAGAATTTTCAATACAAATGTCAAGTCACTTCTACTGTATGGGGCGGAAACCTGGAGAACTACAAAAGCTATCACCTATAATATACAGGTGTTTATTAACAGTTGTCTACGCAAGATACTTCGGATCCGTTGGCTAGACACTATCAGCAGCAAGCTACTGTTGGAGAGAACAAACCAGATTCCAGCAGAGGAAGAAATCAGAAAGAAGCGTTGGAAGTGGATAGGACACACATTGAGGAAATCACCCGAATGCGTCACAAGACAAGCCCTGACATGGAATCCTGAAGGCCAAAGGAGAAGAGGAAGACCACAGAACACATTACGCCGAGAAATAGAGACAGATATAAGAAAAATGAACGAAAGTCGGGTAGAACTAGAAAGGAAGTCCCAGGACAGAGTGGGTTAGAGAATGCTGGTCGGCGGTCTATACTCCTCCACGAGGGGTAACAGGTGTAAGTAAGAATGATAAATACACATAAATGCGTGGACATAAAATCTGTATATATTAATATAGTGTAAATAAAAATTACATAAAATTTCATTGACATAACCGATAGAATAAACTCTTACGTAACAAATTTTGCATTGAATACATTAAATACCAAAGAGATCATATCATGAAAATAACAATAATTATGTATGTATGTATTTGTGTATATATAAATATATATATGTGTGTGTAGGTATAGATTGTGGGCAAATAAAACACACAAAATGGAATGCGGGGTAAAAAAAACACCCCCCCATCTTTCCCCCCTCTCTCTCTCTCTCTTCCTGTCAGTTATACATATACGAACACAAACAAGGAAAACATGAAATCATTGATTTCATCTACTTACTCTTCTCATCTGTAGTTTAAATATTCTTATGAGAAAGTAATCAATAAATAATTCATCGAGTAAAAAAAGCACAAAAATAAAAGAAAAGGAAAACAAACACATACAGAGAAAGACAACACAGATAAACAACAACAACAAAAAAAAGAAAAAAAAGACTATACATTGGAAAAATAATTATGTTTATTATTGTTATTAGAAACAACCATAACAGTCATAGAAAAAAGAAAAAAAATGAGGAATGTGTTTAAGGTAACCAGTGAAATCCCACTGATATGATGAGGATTAAAAGAGACAAAGTTACGAAACCGCCCCCTTTCTCTGCCTCTCTCTCTTAATAACTTTCCGACCCGGTGAATATACGATTTAAATCTAAACTAGCTAAAAGACCTTCAATTAATGTTAAAAAACGACCTAATGCTTCAGAATAACGTGTAGCATCTGATTTTAATTGAATATATGCTTCTGGATAACGTGCTAATAATAATTTTGTTTCATTCAAAGATCCAGGAGGTAATCCAGTTGTCGAAGTTATTGAAGATGTTATTGTTTCTGGATTATCCATTAATAATAAATCAAATAAGTACAAACGTGAAGGAAGTGATTGGATAATAACCTAAAGAAATATAGAAGAGAATGGAAGAGATGAAAAGAATTTCGTAAAACAAAGGCATAACAAATATCAAATAATATCAGAAGGGGTTTTTGTGGAGATTTTAGTAATTTTATAGTTGAATTCATGAGTCAATTGAAGTTAAACCATCGGCGAAAACCTGGAAGCACTGGACGGCCGTTTCGTCCTATTATGGGACTCCTCAGCAGTGCGCATCCACGATCCCGTACCCACGAGATTCGAACCCAGGACCTATCAGTCTCGAGCCAGAGCCCTTAACTAATAGACCACTGAAGAGTCCCATAATAGGACGAAACGGCCGTCCAGTGCTTCAAGGTTTTCCATGGTCTTCTAGCTTCAGTTAATCAATTGTAAGCACCTTTTTGCTCTTTATTTGTTTACTTATTCATTTGTTAACATTGTATTACATAATATTCATCTAATTTATGTCATATTTGTCTAGTTTATAATGTTGACCAAATTTTATTGATCAATTTGTACTCTGGCTACTCAACATTATGTACATTAGATTTTAATATTTATATAGTTGAATCGAAGTGGAAGTGAAACCTGAACTTAGATTTTATGCTAGCTGGTACTCTCCACTCTTTAAGAGGATGATGATCCTCATACGAGTTAAAACAGCGTCATTCAGTGTTACAATTAGAAAAGCTATCATCAAGCTATTTTAGACAGAGACTGACCTCCTTTAAGACTGACATATAATCATTGATTCATCGCTGCGTAGTGATCAATGGTATGTTTGTTATGTCCGATTAGTGAAAGGTACGACAAAGATTAACATTCAGAACGAAAACTACATCCAGAATTTCTCGTTGTATTCGTTCATCCAAAAAACATTCATGCAACTCACTTACATATTGAGTAACTCTAATCAAATTATGTAAATTTGTAACTTTGTATTTGGAGGGACAAGTAATACAGTTAAACGAGTGTCAAAGCCCAAGTATATGGAGCGATGTTGAATACAGTAATCTATTAATTGAAAGCTAAGAGCTTTTATCATTATTCCATCACTTCACTATTATAGCATCAATTCAACGAACTATACAGGTAACCAAGTCAGAGAAAAATTCAGTCAGTTACAACGTAGAACTTCGTACGTACTTACATCAGTTCGAGTTCCCATACCACATTAGCACAGAGATGCAGTTGTCCATTAAAATCTCATAGTGGTAGAAAAAGTAAGAGTATAAGCATTAATGTGAAAGATTAGAGTTTGAAGATGTTATTGAAGGAGTAAAATACAGTGAAATAAATTTGGAAAGAGAAAAAGGATACGGACATGAAGAATTCAGAAGATTAGAATTTGGTAGAACACAAAGAGTGGATGCACCTTCGCCATTGCAAACGATTTTGAGCCATGTCATTCAAGGTCTCTAACCATCGGTTGCTGTCATCTCGCGAATCCCAACCAGGTAGTCTACACCTACCAACATGGCTCAGTCCAATTGTCAGTGACTTCATGGATTTGTGTCACGTTTTGGTCGAACCTCCCTTACCTTTCTTCAAACCTACTCCTACACCATGAAACATTGCACGTCGGGGCAGTCGGTGGTCGGGCATACGTAACACATGTCCCAGCCATCTCAACTGATGAAGTTTCACTACTTCATCAATCGATTTGCCATCCCTACCTAGTACTCGTTTCCTAACAACTACATTACTTACCCGGTGGTCCCAGGATATACGAGCAATGCATCGAAGACACCTATGATCGAATACTAGCAGCCTACGAATATCATCCACCCTTATCGGCCATGCTTCATTTCCATAAAGTAGGACGGAATGAACTGCTGTACAGTAAACCCGTCCTTTGGTTGCTAGACGGATATCTCGCCTACGCCATAAATGACGCAAGTTGGCGAAAGCTAGACGAGCCTTCTGTATCCGTGCTGAGATTTCGTCACACATCAGAACACAAGGGCCGATGAGACTCCCAAGATAACTGAAGCGGTCAACATGCTCAACTATTTCACTCTTTAACATTAGTTTTTTTCTAGAGAAAAATTCACTAGAAAAAAAACTTTCAGCAGCTTCATTTCGAATCATATTAAATTAATACAAATAAAACAGATAATTCTATTGTTTATTCAAATGAAAAACATCAAATTACTTACCATAGCCATACCTCGTACAGACCATGAATGAAAAGGTCGTAAACATCGTGTATACGCTTCATTTGCAATGGTCACAAGGCTTGTATCAGCTGAATTCAATGTATTATTCGTAAGTGAAGATGGATCCGGTGAACAAAATAAATGATGAATAAATTCTCTGACAAAATTCAACCACCTATAATAATGATAATAATTTAAGTAAATGAATGTAATGAACAATGGATGATTCAAAGAATAATAGATATATCACACTATTACAAATCCACAGAGAAACTTGGATTTACCTCTCGAAGTCAGCCACTAGTGAGATATCAACTCACTGAAGACGGTTGCTCAACTTCATTGGATCAGTTGAAGTTAGACATTAACACCATGGGATGCCGGCTCAGTTGTCAATCGGTAAAAAGCTATGGCGCGAGACCGGTAGGTCCTGGGTTCAAATCTCGCGAGTGCGGGATCGTAGACGTGCACTGCTGAGGAGTCCCACAAGAGAACGAGATAGCCATTCAGTGCTTCCAGGTTTTCCATGGTGGTCTAGCTTCAATTGACTCAAGCTTTCAACTATGAAAATACTAAATCTCCACAAAACCCCTTCTGATAAACTTGGATTTATCGTATTTAGAGGTTTAATTTGGCTAAGCAACCATAATTAAAGGTAAAACTATATTATACCGATGGCCTTGATGGATTAATCAAAATTAAGTCAAACGATACGACAATTAAGAACGGTATTGCATGTAGCGAGCTGAACTACCTGCTTCTAGTTTCGATTCCAAGATTGTGTTAATTTGAGGCTTATCTTATTTCTGATTGTTATATGTTGCTTCCTATATTAAATGTGAGTACATTGTGTGCACTTGTTGAGTTGTCGATTCCTTTTTTATTTTATCTTTCTCTTTTCCAGCCCCTACCCTCACACACTACTCTGGGTTCTCTCCTAGTACACAATGCACCTTCTGTCTAAACACGAACCGCTATAGTGAGAATAGTTTGTTGTCGAAACTCATGAATTTTAGTATATTTCATACTTTGAAAGGATTGGATAATAGTTCTCTTGTGGAATGAAGTGTTAAGGCCAATATTTTATGGTTAGGAATATAAAAAACGCCAGATTTGGGGAGTTTTGGGGTCATTAGTTAGGTTTCGAAAGATATCGGGCTAATAATTAGGGCATAAACTGATTACAGAACAACAATCTAAAGAATAAATTACTAAAATTTAGCTCTTAGAATGATGTTGGAATCAGGGTTTTCCAACTCACCTAGGTGGATCCTTCATTTTCATTAACCCTGTCAAAGCGTTGGACATTCGTTTTCCATCCTCTCAATTTCGTAAGCAACACCCCCGCCATGAGAAGGCAGTGAGTAGGACTTCCCTGTCAGTGTATAAGCGTGGCTATGTGAGATCATTTTGAGATGGAGAGCTGACTCTCCCAACCCTCGACCGTACCAGGGAATTAGGAAACTCATCGTTCTTCATAACAGATATTATGGAAATTTTTGCAATAGATTTCATTGTTTTGTAACCACTGGCAAACATATCACGTGACAGGCCACCAATCAGAATTCCGATTCTAATTTGGTCTATTTTGCATCCACTATTTACTCCATGGCTTAGCGTCTCTGGTTTAGCCAAAAATACGTCCGAGCAGCAAGCTTAGTAAACTTGAGTCAATGGCTAAGCATTACTAACCTTTTACATCTGTACTTGGAAAAAAGGTTCCATTAAAAGTCTATCCGAATAGTTTAAAAATATAGAATAAACAGGATCAAATAGACGATAGCACTTATAATTGATAGAAAAGCTTTGAGATCATTATAAAATTAGAGGATCTAAATGTACAGTCTCACAACATATGCTAGTAAAGAAAACACCTAAGTAAACAGTTGAATTCGTCACTTAACATATCTTAACAAGAAAGCTAAAAATTTAAATTTAAGTCATATCCACCTCCATTTCGTCCCAATAACTTTAAATAGATTAGTTTAAGGTTTCGGAAGTGTCTGAGGTTGGTCGCGTGTGTTAATTCACATGAATTTGTGATTTTTGCATAATTATATAATCGTTTGACTTTTGAAAACTTAAAAAATAAGTGGTTGAGAACCATTTAAGTGTGTTTCTTTCTTTGTGTAAATACCAGATTCGTTATCGTATAACTGTCTGTTGAAAAGCCTCCGGTATACCCGTTTCGTATAACACTGTATTCGATTCAAGAAATAACGTGATATCAGTAAATATTGTGACATGCAATTTTAGGGATTGTTTGTTCACATTTTCACAAGGCTTAGAGAAAAGTGTACAGTGATACTGGTTAAGCTTCCATTTTGAAGAATGTTTCGGTAGATATAAGTGAACAGTTTAGACGACTTTGTTAAACAAACTTTTCTTATTTTGGGATGCTTTCCAGAATGTATTGATTGAATTACATTTCACTATATTTACTGATATGACGTTATGTCTTGAATAGAATACAGTGTTAGACGAAACAAGTATACCGGGGGCTTTTCGACAGACAGTTACACGATAACGAATCTGGTATTTACACAAAGAAAGAAACACACTTAAATGGTTCTCAACGATTTGCTTTTTTACCTTTTCTAAAGTCAACCGACTGTATAATTATGCAAAAATCACAAACTCATATGAATTAACACACATGACTAGCCTCAAGCAATTCTGAAACTGAATACTCGCACCTTGGATTAAGCTATTCAAGATTATAGAAACAAAATGGTGGCGGATATGACTATGATCTGATTTCTCAACCTTATTCTATACAATTATAGTATTGTATTTGCATAGCTAAACAAAAAAAAATATCAGAAGGGGTTTTTGTGGAGATTTCAGTAATTTTATAGTTGAAATCGTGAGTCAATTGAAGCTAGACCAAAACCTGGAAGCACTGGACGGCCGTTTCGTCCTATTTTGGAACTCCTCGGCAGTGACCATCCACGATCCTGCCTCGAGAGATTTGAATCCAGGCGATTTTAGAAATTTTATAGTTCAAACAAGTCTGTTGTGAGATATCAACTCACTGAAGACAATGGAGGACGGTTGCTCAATTTCATGGACTGGTTGAAGTTAGACATTACCACAGTTGGATGTCAACCGGCTCAGTGGTCTAGAAGTTAAGCGTTCGCGAGTAAGACTGATAGGTCCTGAGTTCGAATCTCGTGAGGCGGGATCGTGAATGTGCACTGCTGAGGAGTCCCACAGTAGGACGAAACGGCTGTCCAGTGCTTCCAGGTGTTGGTCTAGCTTTAATTGACTCATGATTTCAACTATAAAAAGAGAAATATGGCAAATATTTGAACTAACCGCCAAATATACAATTTTTAATGGTTACATTTAGCTTAATAATAAATTAATCCTGATAAAATTTTCATAGCTCTTTTGTTAAATTAGTTACTTAATTAAGTAGTAGTAGTAGTAGTTGTTGTTGTTGTTGTTTTTCTTCATTGAAAATACCAAATTAATAGAATTATTATAGTAACCATTTTTTTGGCTGTAAACTGTTAACATACTTTTCTTTTTTCAAACAAAAAAAAGAAAAAAAAGGGGGGAAACAATGAGAATATTTTAAAAAGTATTTGTCAATATTGTTGACCATGTTCAGGAATTGTTTGATGTGTTTTTTTTTGTATCCGAAGGAGATTAAATTATTGGTAACTACAGGAAACTATTTATAGACTGTTATTATATACATAGTCTTATTGTATAACTATTAAGGAACTAGATTATATATATCTATATAAATTTTGTTCTAAGCTTTTATTTGACCTACTGTTATACAATTCATATTTTTTTTAAAATTATTTCCCCCAAATTCCCTGGTACGGTCGAGAGTCGGGAGAGTCTGCTCTCCCTCTCGAAATGCTCTCACATGGCCACGTGTATATAGCCTCTACTAGGGAAGTCATACTCACTGACTTCTTGTGACATTAATGTTGTACACGAAATTGAGAGAACGAAAAACGAATGTCCGACGCTTTAACCGGGTTGGTGGACACGGAAAGTCCACCTAGGTGAGTTGGAAAACCCTGATTCCAAACCAATGGTGTACATGGGATGACTCCAGTATCCTGAAGGAACAAATGGAGGATGAATCAATCGTTGGTCATCGGCTACCACGAGATTGCATCACCTCACGATGCTCCACTGTCTTATGGATCAAAACTTTAGGTCAAAGTCTCCGGGTGTGGTCCTAGAAGAAAACTACCTGCTTCGGTGAAGTCACCTGGGCAATATCACAACCCTAACACAAATCAAATGAGATTTGTGTGGCGCATATATATATCTGGTGCCCCTTTGTACCAATATTTATATGTGTTTAAATAAATAAATAATTATTATATAAGAATAATGGTTTAGCTACAGTTAAAATCAAATCCCTGCGACTTAAGCATATCATAAAATTTTGATGAGAATTCAAGTATGAATTGAATAGATATTTAACAGTCAATCTATTTAATTAAAATCTGTAACATGAGTCCTATCCAGAAATGATACATTTATCTACTACTTACATTCTAAAAATAGTAGTCGTTACTAAGTAATACAATGTAGATAAACACTGGGAACTTGGAAGCACTAGAAAAATATCTTGATAATTTATTCTGACAAAGTGTTTTATTTTAAACCTCTGAGAAAACGATGATTCACAATCATTTACTGTCAGCTACAAAAGAGATTCAAATTTTTGTAGGTATTGTTTTAGTATTATACAAGGCTTTAGTTGGCAAATATTAATTAAACTGATCATAGGCTTTGAAATTAATTGGTACAATAACAGGTTATCATTATTTTGTTCGGCTACTTACATCTTACCCTTGAACTATCTTCTTGTAATCTTAGCTGGAGTACAATAATTGTCCACAAGGAATTCATGTTAGAGAATATACTTTTATCAACTATGAGACTATGCAATGATGGATAGTGATTAGCAGTGAAATCCAGAATGCGCGTTTCGTCCTACTTGGGACTCGTTAGCTGAATGTACCTGCGTCAAAAAGCGAGTAAACTGAACTGTAGTCTGTTTCGTTTAACCTTGAAATTGAAGGACGTGGTTTTTGAAAATGGAGAACGAGGATCTCTTGTGAGTATTACAGATTAACTGTGCAATTATTGCTGAGTTTTTGCGCAGTAAAAAATGTTTGATGAAACAGAGAATCTTAATCAAATAAAGTAACTAGAAAATGAGCTGTGTATGCACAACCACGTCTCACTTTGACAAGAAACACTCGATAGAGTAAGTGTATGTTGGAACAAAACCAGATAAAAGCTGAAGTATAAAGTCAAGGAAGTTATATGTTGTTGGTTTGAGGCATTTTGTTTGGTTCAGGCTATATTATGAGATTCGTACGTTAATCGCGATCAGCGATAGAATACGTCTGGTAGCTGCATCACGACACATAAATTTATTCTTTCTTGTCTCTTAGATTTACAGTTTCGGTATCAAATTGTACTTTATCCATGAATTTAATCCTTTTTTTAGAACCAGTGTTTTTATGTTTAGCCTTTTTCTAAACATTATTGATACTAGTTCAGGTGGGTGAAGGACGATGAAAGCTCCACGACCAAACAATCCAGCTTAGAGAACAAACCCACGTTAAAATTATTGATACTACTTATTATAGTAATTCACTGGTTGTTCGATTTGGATTTAGTAATGTAGTGTGGGAACGTGAATCGATAATGTACACTTGTGCAAGGTACCATACTAATTATAACTGATTGCGTGAGAAAATTAGTGATACTACTTGACTGGCAAAATTAAAGCCAAAGTTGTTGGGTTCGAACCCATAACTTGGTGATTAAAATTCGAAGGAATTTAACACCTACACTATAACTTTACACACTTTGAAGTACAATATAATACTGTCATTTATTTAGTTATTTGCACACAGACCGTATTTTAATCTCTATTCTTCTCTATGCGTAATGAATCTCATATGTGTTGTCATCATACATCACATATGATTGTGATATTGTCTTTTCTGTCAATAAATTCACCTCTAATTTAATTAAATACATATACACATATGTAATGTGTAATTAATTACTGTAATTGATTTACTTAATAAAATGTACTCATTAAAGAAACTTTCTATTAGGTGCTCTTGTCATGGAATACCAATTGTGCATTCATTAGTGTGTGTGTGTGTGCATGTGTGTTTAGGGGGTATGTATATATTATAATGAATGAAATTTCACAAGACATAGTTAACTTTGTATAGATATATATAATCGATCTTTCACATATTTTATGCTGGTTTATACATTCGTATTTACGTTGCTAAGTGAAAAATCTATTAAGTGGATGAATACTAGGTGACGATGATAATGAATAATTTAATAATACATTGTTTGTTAATAAATGAAGATCATAAATGGGTAAAACATATTAGGTTTATGAGTTTTACCTGTTAAACAGAAAAAAGGAGTAATATTGATTGAAGTATATGGTACAGTCTAAGACGTATTTAGGCAAATAATACCCTCCCCAGTTGAACGTCACTACAAATCTTGATTTTGATGTAGGTTTGTTCTCTGAGCTGGATGGTTTGGCCGTGAAGCTTCCATCGTCCTTCTGAATGACACTATCAGCACAAACTTCGAGAATAAAACCTACATCAAAATCACCCACCTGAGCTTCAAATCTCCACCATCTTAATCTTGATTGATTGATTTAGAGATTATACTAACCATTATTACCTATGTTTAAGTGATTTGTAGTAGTAATAAGAACTAATTTCAGACTGATTGTCTTAGTAGGATAATATCAATTTAAGGAAAATACCACAGTAGTAAAAGTGATCATAATATCAGTGGAGGTAGGAAAGAATTAATATAGATAATATGATTTAAGAAGAGAAAATCCACTTATGGAATAGAAAAATGTGAACCAATTTTAAAACTCAAGATCAAAAGGAAAATAGTTGGTGAATACATTTGCATCAGTTATTCAGGTATTCAACTTTTTGTTAGTCAGTATCAGGTCCGAACTGAACAACTATATCTACTCACAAACACACACACCTAAAGTTGGTTATAGAATTACACCAACACCAACATATACATTAGGTAATTAAGACAGAGTGGTTGTAAAGATGATGATTTCAAGTGTCATCACAGATATGAAGGCGGTTATCGAGTCTCGGTTTGTCGCACCATGGAAGGATACTTCTCCTTGAGGTGATTCTAAAAAAAACACTGGATTACAGATGATTTTGAAAAGCGAAGAATGTAACCCCAGTATCCTAGAGGTAACTGTTTGAAACTGGTCATATAGTTTACGTTATAGTTAACTCATACACAAACACAATGAAAAAAATCCCTGAGTGAACATCAACTCACTCGGAGATACAAATATATCCAGCTAAGGACCAGTCTTAAATAGGACGAAACGTCCCACTTGGATTTCACTGATAGCCATATTCTGTCTAAAGGGGTTTTTGTGGGGATTTAGTATTTTCATAGTTGAAAGCGTGAGTCAATTGAGGCTAGACCACCAGGGAAAACCTGGAGGAGTCCTACAATAGAACGAAACGGCTGTCTAGTGCTTCCAGGTTTTCCCTAGTGGTCTAGCTTCAATTGACTCACGCTTTCAACTATGAAAATACTAAATCTCCACAAAAACCCCTTCTGATAGTAATAATAATCATATGCTCACTAGTGACTAACTTCAAGATGTAAATCCTGGAGTTCTAGTGAGAAGCAGTGACCAGTGGAGTTCAAACCATGTCTGTTGTGAGATAGGAACTCACTGAAGACAATTGGTGAACGGTTGCTCAACTTTGTCGATTGGTTGGAGTTAGATATAAACACCATCGGATGCCGGCTCAGTGGTCTATCGGTTAAGTGCTCTGACGCGAGACTCGTAGGTCCTGAATTCGAATCTTGCGAGGCGAGGTCGTGGATGCGCACTGCTGAGGAGTCCCAAAATAAGACGAAACGGTCGTCCAGTGCTTCCAGGTTTTCCATGGTGGTCTAGCTTAAATTAACTCACGCTTTCAACTATGAAAATATTCTATCTAACTTATTTCTTGAAAAATAAGGAATGCAAATACACTTACCTACATAACCACAAAATAGCCATATAAACTGAATTTGTATTCTCTTGAATTGATTCTCTATGTTTCACTTCATATCGTAATAAATATCCTAAGCTAAGTTGAGCTTTTTTAAATAAAATATTACAATGATTATTTACATCATTATGATTCTCTCTATTATCCATTGATGCTTCATTGGTTCCACTGATAATAGTAGAATTAGTAGTATGATTAGGATCATTCATAAGATTTGTTGTATTAGTAGTAGTATGCATTTCAACATGTAATTCAATACAATTTAAATAATTTAATAAACGATGTCGAACTTGTTGTAATGCAATATAAGTACGTGAAGTTGATGAAGGATTATTCAATGTACAATTATGTTGATTTGTATGATTTAATCGATCAAGAAAATGTAATAAACATTTAGATGCTTTAACAAATTCTAATGCTGATAAATAATCACCAGGTAATTTGATTTCATCATTATTTGGATTAGTTTGAATAGGTATAGATGGTTTAATCTCCTCAAAACTGTTAATGTAATACAAAAAAAATATTGAGCAAATTAATTATTATTACAGGGTAGAGGGGGGGGTGTTTATTTTATTCAAAACACATAAATATTGGTACAAAGGGGCATCAGATATATATGCGCCACACAAATCTCATTTGATTTGTGTAAGGACTGTGATACTAACCGGATGCCCAAACTGAAGCGAGGGTTTTCTCACAGCGACACACCCGGAGCCTTTGACCAAAATATCTGATCCATAAGGCAGTGGAGCATCCTAAGGAGATGCAGTCTCTTGGTAGCCGGTGACCAACGATTGATTCATACGCCATTTCTTCATTTAGGATACTGGAGCCCATGTGCACCATTGGTTTGGAATCAAGGTTTTCCAACTCACCTAGGTGGACGTTCCGTGTACACCAGCCCGGTTAAAGCGTCGGACATTCGCTTTTCGTAGTGTGAGAAGGCAGTGAGTAGGACTTCCCTGACCGAGGCTATATACGCGTGGCCATGTGAGAGCATTTCGAGAGGGAGAGCGGACTCTCCCCACTCTCGGCCGTATCAGGGCATTTGGGGGGGGGTTGTAGATATTGTTGAATCTCATCGTTCCCCGTCACAAAATGATCTTAGTCAGACAATTATCGAAAACTAGCTACGCAAAGACTGGAAATCACAGTCTTGCCTATGAGGAAACTGAAGAATCTTTACAACCCTATACTGATAATTATTATGTGCTCATTAGTGACCAGCTTCGAGAAGAAATTCGATGAATTCCAGTAAGGATCCGTGACTAGTGAGGTTCAACCGTTTCAGGTGAGAGATAGTTACCCAACGAAGGTCTTGGAAGATGGCCGCGCAATGCTGTGGATTTATTGGAGTTAGACAAAAACACCATAGGATTCTGGCTCGGTGATTCGGTGGTCAATCGTTCGTTCAAGAGACCAAAGATCTTGGGTTCAATTGTCACATGTAGGGTAGTAGATGCGTACTGGTGGGGAGTCCCATACTGGGGTGAAACGGTCATCCAGTGCTTCCACGTTTTCAATGTTGGTCTAACATTAATTTCAATGAAACTGGACTTACCATTTAAATGACACATTTGTCACTATCAAAAATAACCGGCTGTAAAGTACCGACAATTTGACCAACAACGTCTTCGATGATATAAAATTCACATTATAAATAGATCCATACAACAAACTACCATTTTTGGACATATGGATCACCAGAAATAATACAATGAAGCTTGAAACTCAAGTACATAAGAAACTAATGCATACTCATTAAATGCACAACTAAAATGTCACAACGCGATTACTTATAAAATAAGCTGTATACAAACCTCGTTCAAGGTCACTTCTTTGAAGGACGTGCTGATGATGTTGTTCAAAGGGACAGTGAAAGCTTCACAACCAAACCATTTTGTTTCAAAAAACACAGCACCTACCAAATTAAGAAGCACTGAGCAGCTGTTTCATCCTTGTATGGGACTCCTCAGATGATTGTGCAATATCGTGAATTGATGGAATTTAGGCGTGTAAACTATTAGATGCCAGGCTAACAGCCTACGGATTAAGTACTCACAGTGACACCTGGAGGTCTTCGATTTTATCAACAACGTGATTGTGTATGTGAACTGCTAAGTAATCCTATTGACCGAACACAATGATCATCTACTAAGTTATAGATAAAAACCCATTTTAAAATACTCCAATCTTAATGATCTGATGTTAATACTAACCATGACAAACTGTGTAGTAAATAAGCTCAATTGCAGAGTGAAGATTGGAGGTAATAAACAAGAAACCCTGCTTAACTTGGGTTTCGTCCTACTTGGTACTCGTCACAGAGGTGTGCCTGTAATCTTTAGGGGACTGTTGCTCCCTTACGGATCCGATCCTGGATCACCCAGATTCACAGTCTAAGACGTTGCCACTATGGGGCTGAGTTGGGTAACACATTATTGAATCATTTAGAAAGCATCAGTTCCTTCAAGATCACAAGTACACCTTGTCAATGAATGCCAAATAGCACAACACTTAAATACAAGGTTTCTTATCAACTAGCTCCAACTATTTATCATTTCAACATAACGCAAACTATGTCGAGTCACTTTGACTAGTGGTCGATAGAATTCGATCAGCACTAAGAAAGATTTGACATACATGACATTGGTCACTACTCTGTGATCTATCAATTGTACGTAAATTAAATTAAAATTATCAATAACAGATTACTCTTTAATGGTCAAAAATCGACTTACCTATATTCTAAAGTAGAAAAGAAAGTTTGATATTTTCTTGTAGCATTGAAGTGACGACGATTTAATGATGATTGTGCATGTGAATTTCGAAAGAGCGAATCGTTCGTCAATGAAGAACAAAGATTATTACTAAGAATCAAATATAAAAGTCAAGAATGGGTTGGTTATTAAATCCAATACTCAACTAACAATAATAACAATAAGCATTATTATAATAAGCAATTGTATCACTACTGCTAATACCAATGCTTGTAATAAATGTTTGGTTGGTCAGACAAGATTGCTAATTTTTCACGTTTCTCTTCTAATGGTCGACTACATCATGGAGAATCGCACATCTGGAAGGAAGCAAGGAATACAATAGACAGCCTACACGCAACTAGACGATTTGGACTTTACAGATCATCTAGTCTTTCTATCCCATACACATGAGCAAATGCAGATGAAGACTACCAGTGTAGCATCAGTCACTGCATCAGTAGGCCTCAACACACACAAGAGAAAGAGAAAGATCCTCAAAAACAACAAAGAGAAAGGCAACCCAATCATGCCTGATGGAGACGCTCTGGAAGAAGTGGAAAGTTTCACGTATCTGGGTAGCATCATCAATGAACGAGAAGGATCTGATGAAAACGTATAGGCGAGGATCGAAAAATCAAGAACAGTATTCATACAGTTAAAGAACGTATGGAACCCAAAACAATCATACATCAGCCAACATTAAAGTCACAATCTTCAATACGAGCATCAACACAGTTCTACTGTACGGAGATGAAACTTAGAGAACTAATAGAACCATCATCAAAAAGTGTACGTATTTCTAAACAATTATCTACATAATATACTCAATGTCCGTTGACTGGATACCATCAACAACATCCTGATATGAGAGAGAACAAACCAGCATCCAGTTGAAGAGGAAATTAGGAAGAAATGTTGGGAGTTGATAGGACACATATTGAGGAAATCATCGAACTACATCACGATACAGGCGCTAACTTGGAATGCTGAAGGGAAACGTAAACGATGAAGGTCAAAGAACAAACTTCTCCAAGAATCGGAAACAGACATGAAAGGAATGAATAGCAACTGGAAGAAACTGGAAAAGATTTTCTGGGACAGAGTTAAATGGAGAATATTGGTTGGCGGCCTATGCTTCTCTATGAGGGGTTACGCGTAAGTAAATAAGTAATATATATATATATATATATATATATATATATATATATATATTCAAAGCTTTTGGCAAGGATCTATCCAACTATTGTCAAAATACAAGATAAAATCTATCAGTAACACATAATGATTCTGTAAGTTGTATCATTGCTGTCAGCCTGTGGTAAAAAGGTGAAGTATAAGGGGTAATAGCTTGAAAGAATATCAATATAACCTTGAGAAATTCTTGATCTTATTCAACTAATTATGAAACAGAACATATTATTAAGTGATTTGTAATGCGAAGATTACGACCTACATTTAGTATTATGGTTTAGTGTTAAGATTTAGATTTCGAAATTTAGAATTTAGGGTTAAGGGTTAAAATCAAACTTCACAGTTATAATTTACAGTGAGAATTGATATTAAGCATTAACTCTAAACTCTACAACCTAATCATAACTCAAAGCTTAATCCTACACCTTACTTACTTACGCCTGTTAATCCCAGTGGAGCATAGGCCGCCGACTAACATTATCCAACCCACTTTGTCCTGGGCCTTCCTTTCTAGTTCTGTCCAGTTTTTGTTCACTCTTCTCATGTCTGTCTTCATTTCTCGGTGTAATGTGTTCTTTGGTCTTCCTCTTCTCCTTTGACCTTCGGGATTCCATGTCAGGGCTTGTCTTGTGACGAAGTTGGATGATTTCCTCAATGTGTGTCTTATCCACTTCCAACAATTCTTCCTGATTTCTTCCTCCGCTGGAATCTGGTTTGTTGTCTCCAACAGTAATTTGTTGCTGATAGTGTCTGGCGAACGGATCCGAAGTATCTTGCGTAGACAACTGTTAATAAACACCTGTATCTTCTGGATAATGGCTTTCGTAGTTCTCCAGGTTTCCGCCCCATACAGTAGAAGTGCCTTGACATTTGTATTGAAAATTCTGATCTTGGTGTTGATTGACAATTGTTTTGAGTTCCAGATGTTCTTCAGTTGTAAATAAGCTGCTCTTGCTTTGCCGATCCTCGCCCTCACATGTGCATCTGATCCACCGTGTTCATCACTGATGCTGCCCAGATATATAAAGGTTTCCACATTCTCCAAAGCTTCTCCGTCAGGTGTAATTCGATTGGTGCATGTTGTATTGTATCGGAGAGTCGTGCTTTTCCCTTTGTTTATATTGAGACCTACTGATGCTACACTGGTCGTTTTCTCCTACATTTGTTGTTGCGTGTGAATCCTACATCTTATGCTCTAAATTTTAAATCTTAGTCTTAAATCTAAACTTAAATGTTTATTGATGCTTCCCATTGTTAAAACTAATCATCACAATTCAACAAATAACATTCTACTTTGATATAATACGCCTTGGCCTTGAAGTGTTTTGACCTTTCTTGATTATTGGCTCGACCTTATAACTCAGTTTTACCTAATCCTTTTGCATATGAGATCATAAGATACATGCAGTCAACTGTACAAAAATTTTGAACTTACCTCATATTTGGTGAATGTATATTAGAAGGATCTGTATTGGTAAGACATGATGTATTACGAAATATAGTAGGACTTGTCTCTAGTGTTGTTCCTGTTACAATAGAACTTAACCATGGTGCTTGTGCATTACTTAAAATCATTAATTCATCCAAAGTTATTAAGAATGTAGAACAAGATGCATTTAGCATACCAGTTAATTCATCAATACGCTGATTAAAGTAAAAAGAAAATGGAAAATTAAAAATCAGAAATTAATTTTTACAATAACAAAACTGATTTATACATAGGACAAAGATTAGAACATAAGATGAAATGTCGAATAGACAATAGTGCTCTCCCCCACCTCCACCCAACTTATCTATGTTTACAAATAACCTGGACTATAAGCTCTTGGATCAGATCAATTTTATATATGATTATCAATTCATTGGCTTATGAGGAGATGCGTATATTAGTCGTTTGGTGATCGTTTTATCCAAGAGAATTGAAGATAATTATCTTATATGATTGAAAATAGATTACAATAAATTCATAAGCAGCTTCATAATCGAACACCTGGTAAATATGTGTTATCACACCAAAACGTACTGACAGTTTAAAGTCATCAACAAAATGAATTGAAATAAACCTGATCTTTGATAATCTGAGGTCTCATCTCCTTAGCACAGCACATACTGTGCTGTATATTTAAAGAAGCTAGAACTATGTATTTAATGTGATCTTCTATCGTATTTTAATCCTTAGTTTTTCTAAAGTCATTTAGATACCCAGTTTTCTTATATACTGACTTTTTTTTGCCTGTAACTGAATAATTTATGGTAAGCAGAGATGGATAGTGGCTAGCAGTGGAATCCAGGATGCGCGTTTCGTCCTATTTGGGACTCGTCAGCTGGATGTACCTGCATCTCAGTTGCAGTCCTAAACACATCAATGGGAAGATTCAAACAAACAATACTAAGTGAATAATTTATGATTGACAAGCTTAAATCAATAAAGAGTTGATGGAATTCTAGTGTGTCTGTTTAATTGAAGAGTTCAAACACATGTATAGATCCAAGAATTGTAAATGAATTATGAATTCAAAGAACGTAGAACATAAGATTTTAGCAAACAAATCCAGTGATTGGTATTCAGAAAATATGCTGTGTAAATCGATGTATTAGAACATCTGATACTCTCCAATACAATTTAAGTACGGATGAATAAGGATTAACCAAGACACCGATATTATAAGATTTAGAGAGAAGAAACCATATTTTTTTCTGAGAAAATAATTAGAGTAATACAATTTTTTCTACACGGCAAAACATTTACATAAATACTTCTTATAAACAACGGTAGTTCATTGATTAGAATATGAGGTTATGAAACAACAGTTTTCAAGCTCGAACTAAACTCTATTTGCTCCAAGTTGGACGCTCAACTCAAGACATGAACATTCAGAGTTCAGTTTCTGGTAGAGACGTGAATACGTTAAGTATTACAACGAAACAACTGTCCAATCCTTCCCGGTTTCCAATGAATCTCTAAATAAGATTAATTTGTTATTTAAACTATGATACGGTCGACAGTGGGGAGAGTCTTCTCTCATATGGCCACGCGTATAAAGCCTCTGCCAGGGAAGTCCTACTCATTGCCTTCTCGTGGCATTACTGTTGTTTACGAAATTCAGAGGACGAAAAGCGAATGTCCGACGCTTTAACCAAGTTGGTGAACACAGAAAGTTCACCTACGGGAGTTGGAAAACAATGATTACAAACCAATGGTGCACATGGGCTCCCGTATCCTGAGGGAACAAATGGTGTATGAATCAATTGTTGGTGACCGGCTAACATGGGACTGCATCTCCTTACGATGCTCCACTGCCTTGTGGACTAGACCTTTAGGTCAAAGGCTCCGAGTATGGTCCCCTAAGAAAATTACCTGCTTCGGTTTGGGCACCCGGTTAGTATCACAGCCCTAACACAAATGAAATGAGATTTGTGTGGCGCATATATATCTGATGCCCCTTTGTATCAATATCTGTGTTCAAACTATTTGAAATAAATTGATTCATCACTGAATAAAAGTTTACTATCAACCGAATGCTTTTTTTTAATTATAACAGATATACCAAATATAAAATTTACTTGTCCAAATTCCAGTCGAAATAATATTGACAATAAATAACTAATGAATTCATATTACAGATGTTTACTATCATTATACTGAAGTAAACAAGAACACGAGTAGGGGACAATCGAATATATTTTAGCACAATATCTCACTAAAATCTGACAACCATACAGTAAATAGTTAATTTGCGAACTATCAATCCATTGTCTCAATCTTGACTGTTTCTTCAGCAAATATCCATCCATAGTCTTCGATTATAATTGTTCATGCATTTTCATACCAATTGCGTGCCATTCCCGTTCTCTCATTATCAATCTTCTACTGAAATACATTCAATGCCCGACAATAACCATATACTACTTATGTGGATATCAGTAACCCACATCACAATACTACTTAATTATCGATATATAATGTGAAAAGTACAAGACTTTTTTTCTAGATTATTTAATATAGATCACGATGGATTCAATTTCATAGTTTTTTTATAATCATTAAGCTATTTGACAGTTATTAAAATGTAGTAACCATTAAACTAGTTGTTTTATCCTAGTTTGATACCTTTTAACAGTGTACAGCCATCATTCTACATAGGAAAGAACTTAAGATTTTAATATATCATAACAGAGTATATGTAACCATTTTGTTCTTCCTTTCTTCAATATTGTCCAGGGTTCCCATAGAGATCCATTCCTTATGATGATGCTTCTTCAGACTGAGAACCTCCTGACACGTTGAAGTTAGTGCTTCTTTGATCCCTTTCCAGTTGTCCTCCAAAGTAGTTTTCTGTTCATTCAGTAGATCCTGTAGAGCTTGGAACCTGTTGTTGAGAGTTATCTTGAATTCGTGGAGCTTGTCAGTTTTTCGAAGGAAGGTTGTATTGAACCTTTGTAATTCTGTTTGTCCAGTTGTCCAGTGTTTCTTTAGCTTCAGTCTCATCTTGGCCACAACCAGGTGGTGATCTGAAGCTATGTCAGCTCCTCTCCGGGTTCTAACATCTTCCATTGTCCTTCGGAACTTTTTGTTGATACAGATGTGATCTATCTGGTTCTTTGTGGTGTGGTCCGGTGAGATCCATGTAGCTTTGTGTATGCGCTTGTGTGGGAATATTGTGCCACCTGTAACCAATTTGTTGAATGCACATAGATTTGCAAATCTCTCCCCATTTTCATTTCTCTCTCCTAGTCCATGTCGTCCACTTATATCTTCATATCCTGTGTTGTCCACTCCAACTTTAGCATTTAGATTTCCCATCAGGATGCTCAGGTCCTTTCTTGGGCACATAACTATGATCGATTGCAGCTTCTCGTAGAACGGATCATTATCACCTTCGTTGCTATCATTGGTGGGTGCATAACATTGGATAACATTCATTGTGATCTTTTCTCTGTTTTTAAAGATGCTTTGACTATCCTAGATCCGTGAGATTCCCATCCTACAAGTGCATTTCGTGCATTTTTTGGATAGCATCAGAGCAACTTCCTGTGTGTGCGGAGCATTTTCCTCTTCATGACCGAAGTACAGCAGTATCTTTCCCGTACCCGACCTTTGCTGTCCAGCTTGGGTTCAATGGGTTTCGCCGATTTCGAGAACAGCTAAGTTGTATCTCCTCATTTCCACAGCTATTTGACTGGTCTTTCCGGTCTCTCACACTGCCCGAACATTCCATGTACCTATATTAATTGTTGCTGTGGTTGTTAGAAGGGGTATCGGCCTTGTGACTTTCAAAAAATCTCAGCTTTCATCGTTAGGCGTCGAAATTCTTCTTTCAACTCCCAGGGCAGAGTTTAAATAGTTTAATTTCTTTATTCTGTCCAGCGTTTTTTTTAACTAAGGTTGTTTTCTACGGTATGGGGTTGCCGATCCTATGCCCAACCTTCCTCCTTTACCCGGGCTTGAGACCGGCAGTAACCCTAGGAGAGCTACAGGCGGAGTTATATATATATATATATATATATATATATATATATATAACTATTCGGTTAGTACATATGTTATAACCTATCTTCTTTTCCATTAAACGTGATAGTATTGTGACCATCCTTTTTCTACGTAATTGAGATAAACACTTTAAAGTAATAGGGAGTTAATCACAATTAATGCAGAACCTGGTACATATGTTTACATTGCTTCAAGTTGCCAAACTAAACATCAGTGTACAGTGAGATGAAGTTATTAAGATGAATACATGACAGTGTTTATTGAACAATAAACAGTCGTTTATTGAATATCAGTAGTAATTATCTAGTTTCTTTATGAACAAAGAAGATAGAAACGTCTTGAAAACTAGTGTTGGGATAGATTAGTTATTTTTTAGAATCACTGAACAGGAGCACCATCAAAACTTTTTTCAACATGGAGTATTAAAAATAACAACACATTAATTTGAATAAAACATTAAGAAAATAGAGACTAACGAAAGGTGTGAAATACTACAATAAAACGTAGGTATATAAGGAAACAAAAACACGTAGAAATAGTCAAGGGTTGAGAGAGTCCGCTCTCCCTTCGGGTTGAAGGCTCGAAAAGTGCTCCTCTTTAAAAACAACCCGCTTCTGTTTGGGCACTCGAGAAGTATTCCAGCCCACATACAAGTTCAATGACTTGTTTGTTTAATATATATTTTGGTACTCCTTTGAACCAATATTCATGTTTAAGTGAAATAAATGAATAAATAGAAATAGAATAGTACTATCTCCACTAACTGTGCCCTAAAAGTATTAATTTCACGAACTCCAACGCAGTAACATTTGAAGGTTATGGCCGTCTAACTTCCGACTATATCGAGTTAGACAGCTCAGTAGATAATGCGTCGGCGTCCGAAGCGAGAGGTACCAGACTTGAGCACAGATATGAACATTAACACTGAGATGCCGATGAATCTAGCTGACGGTTCCCGAATGGGGCGAAACGCGCATCCTGAATCCGAGTACCAGCCACTACCCATTTTTATTTAAAAAAGGTGATTCCTGGAACATATCCTACAGTTATCTAACAGATATTTATTTATCTTATAACAAGCTTACTTATTGTTTAGGAATAAAGAGAGCGAAAATTCGATAGAAAAAAGGGTACTCTGACTAGAGAAAAGAAACATTACATCTCTTTTTTAAAGAGTATGAAAACTGACTACAAATCATATTCAGTGAAACTCAATGATCAATTATCTCTGTCAAATTCTTTGTTTTAAAAACTCATAAAACACAATTAGCCGATTAACTTACTATTTATTTTGATACAAATTACCCAATAAGAAATTTACACCTGATAAACTCAATCGTTAGGATAAGTCGGTAGATGATCCAAATATGTTAATTACAAAATTAATAAACCCGACCAACACGAAAGACAGGGCAAAAAAGGTCATTTAATACGATGGACATATATATGTTTGCAATAATTAGAGAATATACTCAAAGTCACGGGTGTTGGAATTAGCTAGTAAGAAAGATGTCACTATCTCAATGACTCACAGTCAACCCGACCCACCAATATATATATTACTCAAATTCACTTAAGAAATTTTGATTTTTGCTTCTATTAGATTCATTTATAAGATGTTTGTTAAATGTTGTACCACACGTATTTGTGGAAATCCAGTACACCACCGTGACCGACACCCTCACTGATGTATTGAAATGCTTAGTTTGAACTCAATATTGAGAATAGTGACTATATTTTTTTAAAAAGCTTTAGTAGAACAAATACCAATGATGAAAACTTAAGTCAACATTATTCATGATCAGTTAATACAGAAATTAGAAGACTAAAAACTTACATTCATATCTGGGACCGTACCTTCTTTTAGTTTACTTTGAATCTCTTTGACTTGTTGTACCATTAAATTATGATAAAGACGCAATTCAGAACGATGATTATCGATTAATTGGGTTTGTGAAGGTTCTAAGAATGAATAAGCAATTTTTCATATTAAATAACTCGCGATTCAGTGTGCTTAATTTTAAGTTACCTCATTATTCCATCGATTAAATTGAATAAGAGAACAAGTGTCTTACGATCTGATTAAGCCACATTTACCATATAATGATTAATAAAACTATCCGGTTATTAAAGTATTATTAAATGTGGATCGGTTCATGATTTCAGTGAAACTCAACAATCTCCACAACCCCATACTGAAAAATGTACAGACGTTGAAAACGATTATCTGAACGGCTGAAAGTCGGATGCCTAAAAAACAATGTACTTCTGCTGACTACCTTAGGTTGTAAACAAATTTCAGCACCGCTTTATGCATATTATAGATAAACCACTGAATTGGAGTATGTATTCCATTGCTACTATACATGACATGTATTATGTAGGAGGAGTTAAAAGTATTCTTCATATAATCTAAGGATCCATGGCTGGAAGAGAGTTAAGGGCGGCCAAACCAAAACGTGGCACCAGTCCTTGAAGTCACTAACTTCTAGTCTGAGCCATGTTTGCAGATGCAGACTAATTGGTTGGGGTCAGCGTGACTATCGTACAAAATGGTTGGAGACTGTGTGATATGACTCAGAATCAATAACAATGGTGTAGGTGTATACACTTTCTGTCTTCCCTTTCTTCCCGTACTATATCCTTACATACAGTCTTTGTTTTATATATTTCCACCATTAAATTAACTGCTTCTATGAATTCGGTGTTCATCTTGTTGTGCTAATGAGGTATGGCAACTTAGACCGATGCATAAATGTGCCTGGTCCACGTTGTAGCTGACTGACTGACTGATGGCTTACTGGTTAAGACATTCAACTTCAAACAATTCAGCCCTAGATTCAAATCCCAATATTGCATCTTATTTGATTTGAAAAAGTGGGTATTATCAAAGAGTACTCCAAGAAATACAGTGACGAAGAAGAATAGTTGATTACTGATCTGTATTATGATTAAAACAAAAAACCCAAGGATGAAAATATAAGTATACATACAAAGTTTGAAGTTAGTCAATGAGAGGAAATCAAACATATATTTAAACTTACCATATATGTTTACGTCTTCTGACTTTAATGGTGTAGTACCTACTTTTGAACTACCAAGTGCTATAACCCATCTTTGTCGATCAGCTCGAGATAAAGCACGCAAATAATATCTTTGTTCACCAAGAATCAAATCAAATCTTCGTGGATCAGAACTATGAACTGTATCATTTGTACGCAATAAACTACCAGTATTTACATGGAACTCACCTATGACATCACATACAGATAATTTGACCGACCCTTTACATCCACTATTCATTTCTTCTTTGGAACGATAGTACGACAGAACTCCATCGTCCAAAATGAAATACCGTTGTTGCCAACCACTCACATAATTTGTCCATTTTAACAAAATACCCTCCATTATATCAAACTAAACTGTCAATTTACCTAAGTAACTTGTCTAAAATTAACAATGAAAGCAAATCAAAGAAAAATTAAATTCAGTACATTGAAAATATGCATAATCCTTAGAAAAGAAATACTAATAGTTTTATATAATTTAGCGTGACATTTTGCATGGTTGTTTGAGGGTTCACTTGAGTTGTTTATCTAACAGTTTTTATGATAAGAAGTTCAATAAACTAGATAGTTGAGAAGGGTGATAATACAGTCAAGCACCCGACTAAAATAGCAAACCACATCACTAGTTATAAAACTTTGGCTATAAGCAACGCATAACCTTTTACATAGCACACGAATGAATAATTTTTAAAAAGCCTAAATGAGGTATTTTTCTTGATATTTTTTCCCACAGTAAGGTTAACAAAGAAAGCTACTCCTAATGCAATAATACTAACAAAATGATGCTCTCTGAGAAAGAAAGCAACTAATGGAGCAATGTGAGAAAATTAGTGTGTCAGTAAAATCAGCTTTACCGATATACTCCAGCTTAAAATATTCAGTTACTGTTCTCGCTAAAAAACCGTTCGTTAAACTATATGCAAAATTTCATGGTGTTAAAACGTTTTCGAGGATATTGGAAAGTATAGGAAAATAAGTGTTAATATCTAATAACACTAATTGAAGCTGCTGGTGAACATCTCACGAATGTCAACGCACTCCTCTTCAAGTTGCTGTAAGATTTTTCAGAAATATAATAGATGTAAGTGCAGCTATGAATTCAATAAAATTAGCTGTCTACCGCAATTAAAAAAATTCAGTAGTGATAACAACCGTCACTACAGATGTAATCTATATGCTTTCGTAATTCATTTTACTAATAGTCATGCAAAGGCTAAAAGTACAACCAATGATTCATGACTTGATATAACCAGATATTGATTCTTGGGATGTTCACCCTCAACTTGAAGTGGATGCTCATTGGGATTTTTTACTGCATACGATCTTATGTGCTACTGAGCATTCAGTTCCTCAAATGGTCCCAAAAAGCTACAAACAACCTCCAATCATCAAGAACCGCACTCGTTGTTTGCTAAGCCGCAAAAGGCACTGTTGGGCCGAATATAAACGAACCGACAATAACGACGCATACAGGCAATATAAACGCATAAGGAACATATGTTCAAAGGCAATAAGAGAAGACAGGCTTCAGTTCCAGACCAAGCTTATCGATAAATTGGTCTCCAATCCCAAAAGCTTATTCAGTTACGCAGCTTATCTTCGACAAGGCAAAACTGGAGTTTCCCAACTGCTTGGTCCTAATGGCCGGACCAATAACGACAGTGATGCCGCTAACCTTTTGGCTGAACAATACTCCCAGACATTCCAGCTGACCCACATCAACTATACTGACGAAAGCTTCACCTGTACAGGACTTTCCGAAGTGGACCTGAGTGCTGACCTGGTGCTTCGTAAACTGCAGCACCCAAGAAAAAACACTTCTCCTGGTCCGGATATGGTTCATTCCGCTGTATTGAAGGAAGCAGCTTTAATCCTGGCGACACCACTTAGCGTTATGTTTGCACACTCGCTAAGCAGAGGCAAACTACCGGAAATTTGGAAGCTGGCACACATCACACCAATTTTCAAAGGAGGTCGATGCATTGAACCCTCAAGCTACCGACCAGTGGCCCTTCTCTCCATACCTTCAAAAATTATGGAATCCCTAATATACGACGGTATACTAGAATACTTATCATCCTCAAAGTTCTTCTCACCTCAACATCATGGTTTCAGAAAAGGTCATTCTTGTATGACCAACCTGCTGACTGCGGTGGATAGATGGAAAACCATCCTTGATCGCAAATGGAAGGTTGACGTCATCTACCCGGATTTCTCAAAAGCTTTTGATAGGGTCAACTACGTATGTCTTATCAAGAAGCTTAGGCGATTGGGTATAAAACCCCCTTTGATTGACTGGCTCTCTTTATATTTAGAAAACCGACACTTTAAGGTCAGGGTTAACTTCACTCTCTCTCTCAGGCTATGGAATGTCCTAGTGGGGTCCCCCGTGGCTCAATACTAGGGCCTCTTCTCTTCTTGATTTACATCAAAAATCTTCCTCAACACGTTTCATCTAACTTATTGCTTTTTGCTGATGATGTGAAACTTTGGAGAGAGATACGTAGTCATAATGATATACTAGTTCTTCAGGAGGATCTGACCTGACTTCAAAGTTGGGCAGACGACAACAGACTAACCTTCAACACTTTAAAGTGCAAGGTAGTCCATCTGAGACATGTTGCAGACTATAGTTATAACTTAGGTAACTCACCTCTAGAATTTTCCCAAGTTGAAAAAGATTTAGGAGTGTTGGTACCCTACGACCTGAAATCGTATGCGAACTGTGACAAAAACGCCTCTCAAGCAAACCTTGCACTGGTAACATTGAAGCGCATTTTTGGCCAGTTTGACGGTAGAACCTTCGACATAATCTTCAACAGTTTTATTCGTCCCCGTTTAGAGTACGGAAATATAGTATTTTCTCCCTCTCTCCAAAAGGATAAGGACACTCTGGAACGTATACAACGTCGAGCCACGAAATCAGTTCGGGGACTCAAATATAAACCTTATGAAGAGCGCCTCCAATCACTTAACCTTTACCCGTAAGAGTACAGGTGTCTTAGAGGTGACCTTCTTATGACTTACAGTATCCTTAATACTTCTGGTCATCCCCTTAAACATCTTCTTAAGCTTAGTCATAACACTAACCTAAGAGGTAACACCCAGAAATTGGAGACCCTACATAGCAGAACAGACTGCAGACACAACTTCTACTCCGCTAGAGTTGTCAAGTGCTGAAATTCGCTGCCGACAGAGCTAGTCCAAGCGTCATCCCAGGTGTCCTTTAAGAGGGAACTTGACTTATTCTTAAGGACTAAGGATAACATATTATTATGATTTACCAAATTCTTTTCCCCCTATTATCGTTCATATACTTAGGTTTTTGACTGGAGGTATTGGTGATCCACTGCTACTAAACACGGAAGCCCGTTAAGCGAAAGCTTCTTCTATTCCGTCCTCAACCATTTGAACGGATACCGTCCAGGAATCATATATATCTGACGCCCCATGGTACCAATATTTGTGTTTAAATAAATAAACAAAATACCAAGACATAGTAAACTAATTTGACCTGACAACTCAGTTGATGGCAGGAATACACACCCAACAGAATCCAAGTGGTAATTTGTAAAAGCTTATATAGAGACAACAAAAACCTATTTCAGTTTTCCACAATTAACGTTACGAATGCAGTCAGGTTGGACAAGTGGCTGTTAATGAAGAATTGACGAGGTAATATATTCTGAGTTCTTCACAGTGACGGAAAATAAAACCACCCTTTACATGTAATAAGTGAATAACGATTTTGTTGAGAAAAAAAATTAAAGTTATCACTATTGCCGCACATATATAGTCCTGGAATTAATTATCTATTTCTAAATATAAATTCTGGTTTTGCAAAATAAGAAAGGAATGCTTGAACCCATAAGCCAGTAACTTTACTCGACTGCATAATGCATAACCTTTTTATTAACTCATTATACATTGAGCTTAATAATAGCAGCCACTACATCGTAATTCCCAGTATTGTGACATGTCACATAGAACTGCTGAAACACTTTTAAACTTATTGATGGCAGTTTATGTTAACCCAATGTACAGAATTCTGAACAACAGATGGACCACAACGATGCTAAGTAACTACATTATTGACCCAAACGCCGTACGGTGTACAGAAGAAGCGTCTCATGTACAGTGTGCGCAAGCCTCTTAAAAAGAAAACTTATGAGAGTTATGACTTACATGAGTAGCAGCCATCAAGTATTTCTATTGTCGAGTACCGCAACTTAAAAACACGGCGCTTAAATACAATTTCCAATATCTTGGTCACGGAATTGTAAAATCTGATAAATGTCTTTGTACTGGCTTTTTGTTATTTCGTAATAGTTCTGAGTAATTAAATGTAGTCATAAAACTTTAATAATTAGCCTGGATTGATAGGATCGATTGATATTCTCGTACTAACCTCATAATCAGAGGGTGTGACCCCTGAATAATAAAAGCACGTACCGCTGGTCTAAACAGTGTGTAGGGAGAGTCAATGTGCCTGCAGAGAAAGTTAAACGTCATTGCCCTATCAAAATCATTTATCAAGCCTATCATTGAGGATCGAACAGTTTGCCGGGCCAATCAGAATCAATGACATCTATTGCGGTTCGTTGATCTAACTCCGATTTCATCGGGTTATGATGCCAACGAAATATACATGCCCTAGTATATAGTTAATAAAGTAGTTCGCGTTAGAGAACAACTGCGAGAATGAACTTAAGATATGTATGATTCATACACTCGTTACCACAGGGAAACAGTAAGAGGAACGAAGCGGAGAACACAAACATGCCGACTCGCAGTACTACTTATGATAAAAGTTAACGTGGTTCAAGATAGACAAACTTTAGGGCTTCAAAGAGCAGGCATTGGATAAAATAATCAATGATAGACAACCACACATAAGTAAACACAAAACTCATATGTGTTGAAATAAAGGGACATAATAATAAGATGTGTGTGTGCTGAATTTCACTGCTTACCAGAAAATAATGGAGTTATTACTAAGGTGGAAACGACTCAATTGTTACATTTTATTTGAGTTATTAGGGTCTATTCGAAGGCTAGGATGAATCATGTGAGTGTGTGTTAGTACTCGACACTACATAACCAACTCCCATTAATTAATTACGTACCACTTACAGGTGAATGCGGCAGCCAAGCTCATTCTCAACTTCTTATTTTACTGCTTACCTTGTCAGGTAAATCTGGGATTTTTGTAAAAGATAACTTTAATTCCACGAAACTGCATCTAAAATACGGACCATATCGTGTTTTGAAATAAATGACCTAAATAATAGAAGTATCATGATAAAAATCATGGATAAAAACAGAACTACCATCTACTTGACTCTGTAAAACAACAAATCAATCATGAATCGAACGAATAAACTTCGTTTTGAGTATCAAATTCAATAAGTAAATGGAATAGCATTTAACTGAATGTAGCAATACGTGCCTAACTTTTTGTACACATCCTCCTAGAATTTTACCTAGACATTTAGCATTTGCTAACGAATCGCAGGCACCAAATAAACTAACTCTCAAACTTCACTTGATCATCTATTTCTATTTGGCCTTAATTGAATTATTTCTGAAATTCCTAGATGATACAGTAATTCAAATACTTTTAATCATAACAATAAGTTACATAATAATATAACAGTTCCGTCTAAAATGATGATAGTTATAACAGTTGGAATTTTCTGTGTTTGCATACTAGAAAGTTGTATAATGTTCAAAAATAGTTTAACTCAGAGTTGCTTCAATATGCATTAACTAAACAACTACCTGACATTCTTTTTTATTAGCATCATTTGGGGTTACAAATCATACAGTTCATACTAATAAGCTTTGTTAAGGCTACATAACAAGCTCACCAAATTGGTGTCTGTTAGTACCCCTCGTCCTGTCAGTGGAATAAACCAGACTAGTGAATGGGTCTTTATTTTGATCGTGGAACAGTGAAAGTGGAGCACGAAGCTATCTTTTTCAAACACATGAAGTTTTCCGACATTCGACATAAAAAAATGGGAAATACGACACCTATACAAAATCAGGAAACAAATGAATATTTTTGCCATTATGCTTTGACATTAGTGAGATGTTTGTGGACAACTCTTAATCATTTACATATTTTGCTACAGTCTCCAAGTATAAGATACACAAAAGTAGGTTGAGAAGACGGTGGAATTTGGTTGTATACTCCTAGTGAGTGAGTTTGGATCCAGAAAGTCTCGTCAATCCAATCGTCCCATTAAACTTAGTTGCTATATCGAATGGATAGGTAGAAAAACACATGTAGAACGAAAGTCATGAATAAGAAGTTTCCTGAAGTTTCTTCAGTGATGCTATTCTCCGAACTTAATCACTCGGTGTACAATCTGTACTTATTACTGATGCATCACCTACGGCTGTTGGCGCAGTTTGGGAACATGAAGATAGATCGATTATTTGTGTTTCACGAAAACGTACTGTCACTGAACATGATTCACAAACTCAGCGACAAGCATTAACTGTGTTTCGGGCTGTTAAAAAACTTCACAATTATTTATTAGGAGGGAAGTTTACCATTGTTACTGATCAAAAAGCTTTAAAGTTTATTATCACCCTGAAAAATCTTTAGCACGTCCCTCACCTACTATGGTTCAAAGATAGAGTATTGCTTTGTGTGCCTATTACTATACGGTTAAGCACAAGAGTGCCAAACAAATTCAACATGTTGACCATATTTCTTGACAATCGTTGCAAGATAGACCCGTTGATACTTCAGACTGTTTGTTAGTGCAACCTTTACCGGTGAGACGTCCAGATCTCATTAGAGAAACTCGTAAATACTTTGGATGTATACTCAGTGCTATACACAACGGTTGGTATACTAACGTGAAACGTAGATTTCCTGTCTATTTTTCAAAGCGGGATGAGTTATCTATTACTTCTGATGGTATTTTGTGTCTAGATGGTCGTGTTGTTATTCCTCCTTCATTACGTCAATCCGTCCTTGGAGAGCTTCATGGTGAACATTTAGGTGTTGAGAAAATGAAGTCGTTGGAAAGATTCATATGTTGGTGGTCGAAATAAATGCAGATATATGTCGTACAGCAGACAACTGTGAAAAATGTCATAATTTGAAAAGTCAGTCTTCTAAGTGGACTTCATGGACAATATCATCTGAGGCCTGACAGAGAATTCGTGCAGACTATTTCTTGGCAAATACTATGCATTTGTAGTCATTTATTCTTTTTCTAAGCGGCCTGAAGTTTGTTTCACAACTTCACCAAATTCTGACTTCACAATCCATGCATTAATGAAGGTGTTTAGTTGAGAACGGGTTCCCATGGAGTTAGTGACTGATGATGACTTTCATTTCTCTGTGGATGCAGCCACTAACTGATCGAATGCTACCGGGTGCAGATATCTTTTAATTCTTCCCAGTGTTATATCGTGTGCAAGTCTATTGGAAAACAGTGAATTTATTGATCGCCAATGATGCAAAAAAGCCGAATGAGAAGTCTTGAGTACTTATCAGTTCTGCTATCTGCCTATCCCAGTCAGTTAAGTCCACAACACCAATAACAGCCTATGTGGTATGAATCATTATTCTCAAACATACTGGGTTTATATACCAATCAAACTGACCACATCGTACCATAAAATAGAAGATAACATTTTTATAAAATTTGGCCAAATATGGCTGTGAATAGGGGGAATAGTAATTAATGGACTAGGGATAACTGAAGCATGGTAAATCATGTAATAATAGTCTATAGGTCAAAATAAAGATTATAATAAAAGGGACATGAATATGGATAGTTTAGCTACTTAACAATTATACAATAGGAAATATACATATCATATTGGTCCATTAATAGTTCTCAAAGTTAACGTTCATAAATCTCGGGATAAAACACTCAGGCATCGTTGTTCCAATAGTCAGGCAAAACATTTTGTCAGGACATTGAAAACTGCTATTGATTCTATTGCTGCATCAACATTTAATGAACTGGAGAGGAGAGTAGATACACTTCTACTTCAATGTATAAATGATAAACATTCTGTGACGAAAGAGACTACATCAAACCTATTAAAAGAAAGAATTTTTCATTCGAATAGGAGGTGTTTCGAGTCTGCAGAAGTTACAAATAATCGTGAGAATGATCTTCGACCTGCCACGAGGATTATGGTGGAGAATATCGGGAAACCTATGGTGCGATATATAGATATCAATGACTTCAGTATACACAACCGGCATGTTGATCAAATACAATTCCAGGACCCAGGTGAGTGTGTTCTCATTTCGGTTGTTAATTCTAACACTAATAAGTGCATTCTAGATAATACATAGTCTGTATTCAGTGCACTACCGAACAGACACGGGATGAACTTAAGAAGAAGACGTACAATCGATCACAGACATTTGGACTCCAATTTAAGCTGTGGCGGATGTGGTGTTTGTATGAACCAATGATTCCTTGGTATTGACGACTGTTTGATTTCGAATTACAAATGCAATGCATTCTTTTGTGTTCATCTAAGACTTCTTGATTACCTTGCGTTATCTCTGGTTTCTAGTTTGTGTAACATAATTCAAATACTTCTAATTATTACAATAGGTTTCGTAACAAGCGTTCATGCCTGAACAAATTACTTATTATTATATCTTGAACTTGGATTCTTAATATGACGCGTAATACTTGAGCACTCAAACGCTAGAACTCTCCCAAGTCGTAAAATGAGAAGACAGAAGACTAGTAAGTAGGAATGTTATTCCCAAAACAGTGTCAAATATTGTACAAAAATCTCATGTATTTATAGTTTTTTGGCTGAAAGAAATTCATCACTTCGGTTAGGGAATGGGAAGATTCAAACAAACAATACTAAGTGAATTTATACTTTATTATCATTAAGTTTCTTTCTTCCAATTATTTAATGTTAGTTTATAATGAGAACAGTGAATTATTGACCGGATCTGTTTATCTTGAACTTAGATTCTTAGTATGATGCGTACTACTAGACTACTTGAACGATCGAACCTGCAACGTCGCAAGCGAGAACACAGAAGACTAATAGGTAGGAATGTTATTCCTAACACAATGTCCAAATATAGTACAAAAATCTCATATATTTATAGGTTTTTTGGCTTAAAGTAAATCATCATTTCCGACAGCTAGTAGGCACATAGAAGGTATTTATTATTCATCCAATAGGGAAGCTAAACGTCGACATTCTGGAATGTTCCTCTGGCGGTGATTGGATGAAACGTCTTCGGCTCTTTCTGGGCTTCTTGAGGCTTCCTTGAGCTTGCCGACGAGGCATCTTTACACTTATTGCGAGAGAGGATTGGATAACAGCCCTAAATAACGATCTGTCTGTCAGTGTGATTTCCATAGATTTGAGCAAAGCGTTTGACATGGTTTCAGATTTATGTCTTACTCAGAAGCTCTCGAGCTTCGGAATAACAGGTGCTGTACATGAATGGAAAGGAAACTTCTTATGTGATCGGAGACAGAGAGTAAGGTTTAATGGAACACTATCCGAATGGAAGCCAGTCAAATGAGGTATGTCTTAAGGCATTATCTTAGGCCCTATTTTTTACTTCTCCACGTTAATGAATTAGCGCTATTACCTATATAATCGACCTTACTGTTTGGGGATGATGCCAAAGTCTGAAGAACAATAATAAGAGGGCTGGTCATTTTCATCTCCAAGCTGACTTAGGGGATATAGTTAGATGGACTCGGGATTGGAGCTTAGAAGTTATTTCTAGGAGGAGTATGCTCATGCACATCGGACACGGTAATAGTTACCACTATACTATTGATGGTAAATCTGTTCCACGCGTTCAAGAACATAAAGACTTAGGAGTAATAATAAGTCGTGACTATGTATGTCAACGCAGCTGCTGCCAAAGGTCATCGTGCGGTATGGTCAAATCGCCGAACGTTGAAATGCTTTGACGAGATGTTTCGAATTTTGTATCTCACCTATGTTAGACCACACTTTGTGTAGTGCATCCAAGCAACTAGCCCATGCCTGGTAAGATATACTAACTTAGCTGAGCGTATCCTACGTGAGAGGGTGAAATTAGTGAAGGGTCTTTCTAAACTCCCTCACGATGAGCGTAAATATTGTCTAAACCTTTTCCCCTTGTCATATCGTAGGATGCGAGGTGACCTTATCCTGGCATTTCGTATCTTTAATTATGATTTGGGTGTTAATATGTCTTATCTTCTTGCTCCCTCTAGTGCTGATAATCTCCAAGGTCATAGCAAGAAGGTTTACAAACTGCGGTCTAGTAAACTAAAGATGGAGTCCCATTTATCTCATCAAGTGGTCAATGACTGAAACGATTTACTCGAACAGATGGTAACAGCCCCATCAGCAAATATTTTCAAGAAGAAGCCGGATTTTCACTGGAAGACGTTAACACAGGTTCACTAATAAGCTATCCTTACTGCTGAAGACTGAAGACAGATTTCTTCACCTCATACATTGGACGTTGCTTCATCTGCGCGCGTAGTCTAAATATTGGCAAAATGATAGTCTCCATTGGCTTGGTGTCATTAATTCTTGTTGTAGTGAATGCCAGAAGTAGGTTTTCATTGTTGTGTATTTAAATATAGCTTCAACGGATTGGTATGTTACTTTTTGAGTATTTTCTCGATGATATGCAGTGAGGAAAGTGAAAAATAGTTATCAAACTTCAAATCGTCGTGATTGTTCTCGTCATTGGTTGTTGATTAGTCTTATAAAATATCGATATTACTGCCATGAAAGTATTGTGTGCACTTTTCCCAGGGAATGAAGTTGCGGCTATTGTCTAAGATTAACAGAAAAAATTCAATGAGTAAATGTATGAAAGATTATTTTTAGTTTCAAAATGATATACTAGTGATTCAGTGTACGCCTTGATAGACCGAAAGGCAATGAGATTAGTTACTTGTCCAAACAGCCAGGCAACCGCAATTCATGACGTGCCGTGATTTATGAAGGGTTAATTCATTTGTTCGTGGGTGACATTTCTAGTCACATAGCAGTCTACCTTCTTATTTTGATAATTATTTTGAAAGTTCACTATCCAGTGCTAATATTTCTCGTATCTATCTTAGTCAGCTACCCCCATTATGTCTTAAGTGCTTTTGAAATAAAGGACACCTGTGGTGCAAATATTTCCAACAGTTTGTCATAAAATGAACACGGAGTGAACTCGTAACCGTTTCCCAGGAGTCATTATTCTCTGAGTGTCCCCGTTCTTTTACTTGTCTCTTAATCATATTGGAAATTTCGCTCGAACGTCTTCACTGTCTGTTATTCGGAAACGATTGAACTTCAGCATTATTCATGGACGACGACCACTTAATTGACCATCCGTCTGTCTGAAATATTGTCCACCAAGCACGACTAGTATAAACGCCATATTCAAATGTTTATAAACCGTTTGGCCTAATGGTAGTTTTCGTCAATAACATTTTTCTAAAACCGTGACATTTCTAGGAGGTGAAAGTCATGTTGTGGCGACACATACATTTTCCAGGTTCGGAGTCGCTCATAACTGACTTATCGACGTACAAGTTGTCAGTTTCTCACCTTTAAAGTAAGACTAACGCAGAATATTTCCGTTTCCTCAGAGTTGAGCTGGATATGAACATCGAATGGCTCTCCAAGTGGTTTATACTAGCTACATATCACCTATTAAAACTTTGTGCTATCATCTATACCTACACCGTTCATTAACTATCCGCTTTCAACAGTTTTTAATGCCAATAAACGATGTTCCATCAAAATAATGCTATTGAAATCTAACTTTGAGTGCCGCCAATTGTTTATCTTCTAACAACTGTGTTTTATACAACCACTTTTCTATATCTGTTTATTCACCATGATCTGTTAGGTTGTTTTCCCAACCCCCAGCTACACTGCGTAAAGGTGTTAATGTTTTAATTCATTTATCCTGACAATAGTAAGTGAATGGGGGTGTTTGTTTTAGCAGTTTTGTATTTAAGAGTTCAAGTATTTTAGTCTGTCTGTTCTTAATATGTACGTCATACTTAATATTTTAATTTTCAGCCATACCATCTTGGATTCTTTGTCGATTTAATTTTCATATATCTACCTAGTGTAGTTCCCAGATGGTTATCACACTTAATAATTATTCCACTACACAATACTGAGGAACGTCCGACTGGCGTACGGCTTTTGAGCATGTGAAATAACTTAAAAACACATGAATCGGTGACACAATATCTACTTATCAATTATTATTATTTTTTAATCCCGTGAGCTAAAATGAGTCATAGATAGCTGTCTCCTTTACTATTTCCTCTTCAGAAGTAGTTAAAAATGTCTAAGTATGGTGAGGATATCAGAACAATGAAGAGTTATGCACCAGTATTGCATCATCATTTACAGTTTTTTCAGATATCTAATATATACATTTTAGTCTGTAATATACTTTATTGTTCTTCATTTATTCATTCTGCTTAAACTACTTTCAGCTTTGTTTGTATATTCCTAATAATCTCATTTTTCTTTTGCGAAATCTTGCTACAGTTGATTGTGGAAGCAGTGTGAAACTTGAAGTTGACTTTGATAACGTCCATTCGCATGGAATATCTTATAGAAAAGCAACCGTCAAGAAAACTAACCCAGTAAATTTAGTTTTTAATGTGATTGGTGAACGAAGGCCGATAGAAGTTTGAAATCTGAATACATATATATCTTAGTATTGATAATGTAGATCGAATCAATTGATTGGACGTACAATAATGTATCAATCAATATTGGTGACAATGATATTCAAGATATATATTATTCAACTGAGAAAACTAGCTCTGGTCTCACTGTTACATTGCATATCAAAGTGCCAAGTAATCATCAAAAAAAACAAATACTTTTAATAATCTTTAATACATGTAGCCTCCCGTGTTGCTGGGACCTGGATTCTTACAATAAATGCAAAGGATAATTCTAAACATGTTGGTTTTTGTTATGTTTCGTGTAAGTTTTACGTTTTATTTTCTCTATTTCGTATTACTTCTGATAACTCATCTTCATCGTTTGGATGTTTTTCACAGCCAAGTTATTATACTTGTTTGGTTGGAAACGTTGGATAATACGGCCTATGATTAGTCAGTATGGCGCAGATGCATTCAATCTTCGTCTTCCCTTAGATCCTGAGTTTCAAAATTGTTTTGTACCTTTTATTCCGCTGATTCAGTTTTTTCTACTTGAATCATATTCTTTATATCTAACCATTTTTCTTTATCATTGATACTTCTGCTACCGTTCAGCTTGATAATTTCATCTCACTCTCCTGATGTAGTATGTAGACCTTGACCGGTGCACATGTCTACCATCTATATTGTTTATAACTGATCAATAAGTTATTAGATGATTTTCTAGTGATTGTTGGAATAAATTAGAGGATAATAAGCGTAAAACTCACTGGCTTATCATTAGTCTGCTAAGTGTTGACAAATCGAACTTAAAAAAGCTCACCAGACTTCATTTCGTCTTTCGTGAGGTTTTTCGAATCAATTTTTTTACAGTATCTGAATATATCGTTGGCTTAACCATATCATTCGATCACCTGTATACAGGACATGGGATTTCAGTTGATCATAATCAACTTAGGGCCAAATATAAATATGCTTCAACTCAAGCTGCTGTACAACGTTAACACATAAAAATCAAATTTGTTGATAAGTTTGGTTTTCGCATGTCTTCAATCACATCAACATAAATGTTTCTACATGAACCAAATTTTGCATTGATGACAATATGAATAAAAGATCTATGATATTAGTTTTGTGAATTACCAAATTTTCAAGTACTTTTTCGTTGAATTAAATTCTCTATTTTTGAGTAACATCCATTCAGTCAGCTACAACGTAGGACCAGGCACATTTATGCATCGGTCCAAGTTGCCATACCGCGTTAGCAACACAAGATGAACACCGGATTCATAGAAGTAGTTAATTTAGTAGTGGTAATATATAAAAGATAGGTTGTATATAAGGATATAGTATAGGAAGGAAGATAAATGTGAAGCAATTTTAATCTCAAGGTATACACCTACGCCATTGTGATCGATTCTGAGCCATGTCACCTAGAGTCTCCAACCATTGGTTACGATAGTCACGCGGACCCCAACCAAGTAGTTTGTATCTACCAACATGGCTCAGACTAGAAGTTAGTGACTTCATGCTCTGATGCCACGTTTTGGTTTGGTCGCCTATAACTCTTTTCCAACCATCCCTAATACTAGTCAGCATAGCTTGTCGTGGTAATCAGTGTTCAAACTTACGTAACACGTGGCCCTACCATCTCAGTCGATGAAGATTCATGACCTCATCAACTGATTTACCATCATTCCCCAATACCCTGTGTCTAACCTCACTGTTACTTACCCGGTTATCCCAGCAGATGCGAGCAATATTTCTAAGACATCTGTGGTCATATACTAGTAACTTACGAGTATCTTATACTCTTAATGGCCACGTTTCGCAGCCATAAAGTAGAAAGAATGAACTGCTGCTCAGTATACTCATCCCTTAATTGATAGACGGATATCGCGCCTTCACCATACGTGATGTAATTTGGCAAAAGCCAAATGAGCTTTCTGAATCCGTACAGAGATTTCCTCAGACACCAACCCATTAGGACTAATCAGACTTCCAAGATAAGTGAAGTTGTCGACGCGTTCGACTAGTTCACTCCCTATCCTTAGTTCAGGTGTTGACGCAGGCCAGTCCTGGAGTAACAATTTACATTTAGATGGGGAGAAACGCATCCCAAACATCCTGGCATTATTACTCAGTTCTAACAAAAGACTCTGAGTAACATCCACTCCTGGTATGTCTTGTATAACTAATTATATTATAGAGTGAAAGTTTATGAACAGATTTTCGGATTGGTAAAGTGAATAAAAAGAAAGTTGGTCGATGAATGAAATGCCGCAATGCTGTGTGACTGAATATGGGCTTCTCATGAGACCAAGTTATCAACATAAGTCGCCGAATGATTTGAGAATGCAGACAAAGCTGCTAGTTAGAAGAACAGTTTCTTTTATTTAATTAAAGAACGTGCTTATGTACAAAATATTAACACAAAATAAGCATGATAAATTTTCGCTGTCAATTGACGTTGACCAATTTTTGGGTATTGTGTCAAATTATATTCGTATACTGTGTTGATTAGTTAAAGTGCGTGATTATTGCCAGCCCTCAAAAGTTTTACTGGCGATTCTTCAGTTTGTCAGTATGTTTGATGACACCACACTCCATTTCCTATTCGTTTACTCATGCATATATTCCATAGTATCTTAAATTCAACAAACATTTCAAAATTTTAAACCTCATTATTCTACTTTTCAAAATTGAATTGACCAGTATAGTCTAACGGGTTCAATTTTGAATATTAACCATGAAAAAATGCAAGCTTTTGCAATGCGTAATTCCACTTAGATTGTTATAATAATATTCCTTTGTACACTAGTTATTTTCTCACTTTGATTACTCTTTAGGTCAACCTGTAATTCGCTCGAGATTTGGGGCTGTTCGTGGTCACGAAGGCAATCCACTCTCTGTTCTTTGTGAAGTTGATGGTTTCCCAGAGCCAAATCAGGTTGTTTGGAAACGTGTAGTTGAAAATGAAGCTGATCCAACTCAAAACCGACTAGTCCCTGTACGCAATGTGAGTTTTGTTTTTAAAGAGAAGCTAAACACTATTCTTATCACTCTTCCTAATTCTTGGATTTTATTGAGGTAAAAAGTAAGCTGGATTATACTCTGTTATCTTCAATTCTCTAAATTTAGCTTTATGATGTTATTCATTAACACGAATCCCGACTACCTGGTTGGGATTCGCGAGATGATAGCAGTCGATGGTTAGAGACCTTAAATGACATGGCTCAAAATCGTTTGCAATGGTGAAGGTGCATCCACTATTTGTGTTCTGCGAAAATCTAATCTTTTGGATTCTTCGTGTGCCTTTCTTTTTTTCTCTTTCCAAGTTTATTTTACTGAATAACATTTTCAAACCCTAATCTTTCAGATTACTGCTTATAATCTTACTACCTCTACCACTATGGGATTTAAATCGACAACTGCATCTCTGTGCTAATGTGGTATGGCAACTCGAATTGATGTACGTACGTACGAAGTTCTACGTTGTGACTGACTGACTGACTTAACACATTTGTGTTTAGTTGTGGAGCTACAAGAATTTAACTTCATTTAAGATTGCTATGACTTCATGCCACTAGGAACACAATCTTACTCTACTTTTATTCACTTACTGAATTACTTTCTTATTTATTCATACAGATATTACTATAATATTTAGAAAATGAACCTTCTCTTACTTTTTAATTGTGCACTCATTTCGAAGAATGAATTTTCTCTACGAGCGAGATAGTTTCAGTTTATGCTAGTGGTAGTGTAGTGAAGAAACAATCAGATAGGGAAGACCAGTTCATTGTTTAATACAAAATTACGGAATGTCTCCGTAAAATATGAAAACCATACATTAAAAACTTCATTTGCATATCTACCATCAATTGTCGCTTAAAAACCTTGTCGTCCAACTGTTTTTATCACAAGTACTTTTTGTCTACATCCCTGTTTTTTTTAAAATTCGATCTTATCAACCTTCTGCTGCCAGGCATTCCACTTCCAATTAGTGTTACATACTACTTATGTCGACAGAAATAAGTAGCATACACCACAGTAATAATGTCTGTGACTTAGTTGTTTCAGTCAATTAAGTTTCATTCGTCTAGTCATACGAACTTGAACTCCATTCCTGTCCTCCACAAAAATATTTTTAGGTATTAATGTATTTTACCAGTGAATGATAAAGTATTCAGGGAGTGCGCATACTTCTGGACACTTACTGAACTACACGATAAAATTAACCGATAAGTTTGTTGGTGACAAAATATGCCTAATAATAAAATATAATAAACATATCCAAAAGTTTTATTTTAATATTAAGTCATTTATTTTACTTTTTTATTGTATTCCACCTTTACGAACCGTATCCTGTATTCATTTATATTGGTTTTTCGAATATTTCGATTGATGTTTAGGACTGCTAGTAATTAGTCTCTTTCGGTGTATGTGCATCCTGTGCGGGTTGCCTCGATATTGCCTTAAGTCACAAGCATTATAAGCAGAGGTGGATGGTGGCTAGCAAAGGGAATAGAGAAGGGGCGTTTCACCCTATTCGGGACTCGTCATGTGGATGTATCTACATCTCAGAGTTGGTGCACAAACTCATGGCTATGTGGGTTTAGCAGCCAAATGGATAGGGCGATTAGGTTTGAAGCAAATGGTACTGGGTTCGTGTCTCAGATGCAAGTATATTCAGCTGATAAGTCTCAAATAGGAAAAAACGCTCCTCATGTATTCCTCTGCTAGCCATCATCCATATCTACTAATATCCTGTATGTTTAGTCTTTTCTCATTAGGATTACAAATTTGTATAGTTAAAATTTCTTCTCGTTCAATGAAAACTATCCTTGTGTTTTTTAATGTTCAATAATTTGTATACTTTGTTTAAATGTTATTTCATTCTTCAGACTGTGTTCAAATCGCATGAGAGCACTAAAGATGCCATCATGGAATGGAATGATGCTTCAGATTCTACTGGATTCTATCTGTGCACAGCAACATCACCATTAGGATCAGACAGTTTATTGTTCGAAGTTCGTATTAAAAGTAAGAACTGAGTGATTTATATATTTTCAATATATAGATATTTTATTTATTTATTTATTTAAACACAAATGTTGGTACAAGAAAGCACCAGATACATATGCGCCGCACTAATCTCATATGATTTGTGTGAGGGCTGAGATACTGCTCAGGTAATCAGACTGAAGCAGGTGGTTTTCTTAGGGGGGCACATCCGGAGCCTTTGACCTAAAGGTCTGATTGACAAGGCAGTGGAGCATCGTAAGGAGATGCAGTATCATGGTAGTCGGTGACAAACGATTGGTTCATACGCCATTTCTTCACTCAGGATACTGGAGTCAGCCTATGTGCACCATTGGTTTGGAATCAGGGTTTTCCAACTCCTGTAGGTGAACTTTCCGTGTCCACCAACCCGGTTAAAGCGCGGAAATTCGCTTTTCGTGCACTCAATTTCGTAAACAACAGTAATGGCACGAGAAGTCAGTGTGTAGGACTTCCCTGGTAGAGGCTATATACACGTGGCCATGTGAGAGCATTTGGATAGGGAGAGTGGACTCTCCCCACTCTCGGCCGTACCAGGGCATTTGGGGCATTTATGTGTTTATCATCATACCATTGTTTTCACCATTATCAGTACTCTATAAACTTACAAAATTGCAGCTGATTATTGAGTGTCACACAAGGATTTAGTTTTCTCATATCTGTGAAAATAGATTACTTAATTGTCTAGACTTTGGTAGATGTTCAGAATCTATCATTATTTTTGGGAAAACTTTACTATTCGGTTCCGAACCACTGTTCTAGAAACACCGTAGCGTAATACTAATTATTTGTTGTCCAGTAATTAGAGCATCAATGTACTTTATTATGTAGCGTTCTCTACGGTGGATGGTTTGATTACTAAACCATCTTTGTCCTTCTAGACATTATCATCTGAGCTGAATGTAGAAGTTATGATCTCAGTCATCCCACAAGTACTAAGTCTATCAGTCCTGATGAACTTATTTCCAACTTTTTATTCACGTTAGCTGGTTTTGTTCAATTAACCTCTAACTATGTGGCCGGTTGACGTTTTCCTCATTGATAGCTAAATTAAACCTATATCGATGTATATGTTAATGATTCCAAACTGACCTAAAAAGGACGCTTCTTGAAATTCCTTGGTATTCTTGGATTATTTCCTCGACTCACAATTTCAACGTTTTTCCAATCACATTAGTGCATAAGGATCATTATTATTCGTTTCAATAGTTTGATGAGTGTAAAATGAATCTTACATGTTTTAACGTGTCAATACAGTAAAGTATAATACTGGAGTTGATGACATCCCGATGTCGATGGTTTTTTGTACGATATGTTGTGATAAGTAGCTACAAGAAAAAAAAAACAGTTTTTAAGTGAATCTATCTACGTGTGTGCGAGTACTTCTAGAAATTTCAATAACGAGGAATAGCGATCTATTCTTTGAGCAAATAATGTTCATACAATTCAACTAACAGAATGAGATATTTTTCAATTTGAGGTTATGAAGATTGTTGAAATTCATTGAATCGATGAACTAACTTGGAGAGGTCATTCTTAGAGTTCTTGTGAGAAGCCGTGACCAGTGGAGTTCAATAATGTCGGGTGTGAAGCAGTTATTCACCGAAGACAGTGGAAGATGATCGCGCAACATGATGGGATTGGTTGAAGTTAGACATTAACACCATTGGATGCCGGTTCGCTGGTTTAGAGTTTGAGCATTGATGCAAGACCGAATGTCTCATGTTGGATTGCCTCATGCAGGATCGTGGATGAGCGTTGTTGAATAGTTTGATGCTAGGACGAAACGATCATTCTTTTTCAATGTATTGTATCCTTATACGTGATCTTTATTTAGATATATTTCTACTATCAAAGTAACTGCTTCTATGAATTCGGTGTTCATATTGTCGTGCTAATGAGGTATGGCAACTTGGACCGATACATATATTTGCTTGGTCTGATGACTGACTGAATTCGGACTATTTATTCTTCTGTTTATATATACAAAACTAATGAATTGAATAGTAGTAATTGTAGTAGTATTACTAGTAGTAATAGTGGTACCGTTTTGCTCTCCACTTCTACAATTATCATGTCAATTTTATCTTTTTCTTTCAAATTTCACAGGTAAATTGGCTCCTCTGTGGCCTTTCATTGGAATTATAGCTGAATTGGTGGTACTTGGTATTATAATATTGATTTATGAACGTACTCAAGCTAAACGTCGTCGTGAAGAAGAACGGACTACATTGTTAAAACAAAATCCAACAGGTGATCGATGTTAAACAAATACGGTAAATATTGCATACATATATAGTTCAGTGGTATTCCTCAATTAATACACAAGTTTACAACTGTTGTTCAACTTTTTAAACACGATTTTATTTGAGGGACACTGGTGCGTCTGTTAGCTGTTGCTTAATACTGTAAACGGAAGTCGATGGGACAGAGTTTAAAACAACAGTCTAATGATTAAAAGTACCCCTAATCACGGTCGCCGCTATAAAATTTTCTGCACTGTTATCATAATTGCAATAATCTAAATCACTTACCAAGTACAGATCCATGTACTTTGCTTTTAACCATACCTCTAGCGTGAGGGCTAAAATGGTGTACTATTTAATTGACCAAATAGATTTGATGGAGTAGGGTTGGAACCCGCAACTTAGGGACTGAAAACCAAATACTCTCGCTACCTGATCACCACTCTGAATTATCACGCAACATTAGTCCTATGTATATTTGATATTATTAGATAGGTACTTTAGTTTATGATATGATAGCGTATGTTTGTGGTCTATTCCATGCTTTTTTCTTTCTAGAGTACTTTCTAGAGTTCTTCAGATCATCAAAGTAACTCATTGTGCCATCTAATGTAAATAAAAGGAATTCAGCTTTAATAAATGATTTCATTGAAAATAAAATTCCCCTGAACTTCTACTGAAAATTCATGACCAATGGAGTTTAACGATATTGTCTATGAGACAGTTCTTTACCTATCAACGTGATTGAAGTTTGGTTGAGCTTAAACATGTAAACCTGTTGGATGCCAACTCAGTTGTTCAAAGGTTAGGCACTCTCCTCAGAACCTGGTACTAGTGGATTCAATGCACAATGTTATCTTTAATGTGTACTGCTAAGGTGTCGTATACTAATACTAAACAACTTACCAATGCGTCCTTATTTATTTAAACACATAAATATTGGTACAAAAGGGCACCAGATATATATGCACCGCACAAATCTCATTTGGTTTGTGTGATGGCTGTGATACTGCCCAGGTGCCCAAACTGAAGCAGGTGGTTTTCTTAGGGGGACACAACCCGAGCCTACGATCTGAAGATCTGATCCACAAGGCAGTGGAGCGTCGTGATGAGACGCAGTCCCATGATAGCCGGTGACCAACGATTGGCTCATACGCCATTTGTTCCCACAAGATACTGGAGCCCATGTGCACCATTGGTTTGGAATTAGGGTTTTCCAACTCTCCTAGGTGAACTTTTCGTGTCCACTAACCCGGTTAAAGCGCGGAAATTCGCTTTTCGTCCACTCAATTTCGTAAACTACACCCGTAGTGTTAGAAGGCAGTGAGTAGGACTTCCCTGACATTTGTTAAATATGCGTGGCCATCTGAGAGTATTTCGATATGAAGAGCGAACTCTCCCCACTCTCGGCCGTACCATGGCATTTGGGGACACCATTGTTTCCTAACTAAGTGTAGTCCATGATGTTAAGGTATAAAATCCAATAATCTCCTTGCAACTCCTCATAGTAATAATATATTATTCATTTGTTTTTAGTGTTGACGACTAATTTCGTTATTTTTACACATTTTTTTTTGTTTCAGCTAATTGCTTGTGACTGAATAATCGTATCTGCGTTTGTTCACCTCATACCCTATTTTGTGGTATTCAGCGTCAGTAATAGTCTCATTTCAGTATTGTTTTCTCTTTCAGCAATAAAACTTATTTATTTGTTTGTTAGTTTGCTTTATATATATCTCTTCCTTATCAAGTGGCATGTATTTGTGTATGTGTGTGTGTGTGTATGCAAGTATAGAAGCGCTCACGTTTGTATCTATGCCGTTTTTTGGCATTGATACTTAAGTATTCTCACATTTAGATTAGCAAGAGTATTAGCGCATTTGTACACCAACTGCTATGATTAATAATAATATAATAAAGGACATGAATATTTACTTTTATTTTCATATATCACTTAATTTCATATTCTGGCTAACACTTACAATAAAAAGGCCTTGTACTCTTCTTATTCTATGCTTACTATTTTATCCTTAATTATAATCATTATTGCCGTTTTCTGTTCTACATTACTTATTTCTATGTTTACATTAAAACCTCTTCATCCATTGTGTTTTAATGATCATTTACACTAGCCTAGCAACAAAAAGGAACGATGGTTTGTATGTGTTGAATATAGTTAACATTTGAATACTACACATATACATCTACATAGGTGTCATGAGGGCATACACTTTATGTAATCATCAATGTTTGTTTGTTTTTATTATCGAGTTACATCATTATTTTACCCTTTAAATGTACAATTTTAATTTGCATCTTTATTATTATTATCTGCTCTAATATTTCATCCATTGTGACTGATCCTCCTTTAGGAGGATCTTCTTGGTCCTCCTTTAGAATAGCTTTATTTTACAATTTGAATGATAAATAAATTATATATTTAGTCAATATTTCTTTTTTTATATTTTTGTTTACATATAGTTTGTTGTTAAGTGGTTCTTTTAAACTCCATAGTAGCGGCTAACTTAATTTTAATAGTCAGGTTTGATTGTTGTGATAACCTAATCGGGTTATGTTAGCAAATTTATTCGGGAATGCATCTCCTGACGTTGCTCCACTGCTTTATGGATCAGACCTTTAGGTCAAATGCTTCGGGTGTGGCCCCCTAAGGAAACCACCTGTTTCGGTTTGGGCACCTGAGCAGTATCACAGCCTTCACGCGAATCGAATGAGATTTGTGTGGCGCATATGTGTCTGGTGCCTTTTTGTACCAATATTTGTCTGTTTAGATCAATAAATAAAGCTTTAAAACCAGTCTTGAGTACCGTTAGAGGTATGAGGGCAGTTATCACTTCCCGGTTGCCTACACCGCGGAAGGGTTCTTCTAGAGGTACCTGAAAAGGAAATTGGTTAAAAGTGATCTCAATGACCTGAGAGCGTGACCGCAGTGCTCAAGCGACAACTGCTTGAGGTCGGTCTCCCAAGACCTTTTTGTCTTTGCTCCGTACTTGTTGGAACCTTACCACCGAAGACGGATATCCGTGGATAAGGCGAGGTGTGTATTTTTAGGGTCGACCTTTTCTAACCCCACCTCTCCTTATGGGAAGGCAGCATCGCTGTTATGCTGGTTGTCTGAAGGAAACACCTTACTGTTGTCACACCTCTGTACAGTCAGCAGTACGACTTCGCCTTTGGACCTTGGGTTTGCTGCTTTTAGTCTTACCGTTCTTCAACCGACCTGTCTGGCATGGTAGGACCTTAAGGAATGATTGTTCCAGCCAGTATAGCTCGTTTGGTTCATCACGGTAGGCAAGGTAATAACAGCGGTCAGGAATCTTTAAAATGGTTAAACTCAATCGTTTAGGTTAAATTTTCAATTATTGTTTAAAAATAATTGACACAACTATGAAAGAACAAATTCTCTCGTCGTGAAATCTAAACCCTTACAAAAATAAAAAATGAGTTGTCACCATTGAGTTCCTACTCAATTAGTCAAATTGTTTCTTAATTCACCTATCCAAATTTTCGATGTATTAATGTTTTATACAACTAATATTAAGTTTTGAATGTTATTACTACTGTTGTCAGGCCTAATTGTACTTAATCATTGTATCTTGATGTTTAAGACATGTATCATTGTTACCTTCAATTTATGTACCTGCTTTGATCATGGCACCCGGGCAGTATCACATTCCTCACTCAAATCAAATAAGATTTGTGTAGTGCATATATATCTGGTGCCTTTTTGTACCAATATTCATGTGTTTAAATAAATATGTACATAAATATTTCATATAATTGGTAGTAGATATATTAGCACACAGGTCATATACAGTTATTGTTTCATACCAATTGGAATAACCAGTTCACATTCTTATAAGCTAAATCAAAATGAATTGTGAAAGAGTTGTGTAAGTTATGGTAATCTATATATAAATGTATGATTCATCAATTAGCTTAGAAAATATTCATTATTGTTAAAAAAAGAAACAAAGAGTATTGTAAATATGTAAATTTTTGTCTCTTCGTTAAACTATAATATGTTAATTTTGGTCAACTACTTATTGTGTTTGCATTGGGTTGTTGGTGGATGTTCATATTGATTTATTTACACACACATAAACATTGGTACAAGGAGGCACCAAAGTGATATGCTCCGCATTTCATCATTTGGTCTGTGTGAGGGCTGAAATACTGCCTGGGTGCCCAAACCGAATCAGATGGATTTGTTAGGGGACCACGCCTTGAGCCTTTGACCTAGAGGTCTAATCTATAAGGTGGTGGGGCGAGGTTAGGAGATGCAGACCTATGGTAGCCGGTGATCAACAATAAGTTGGTATGTCCTTGTTCCCTCAGGATCCTTGAGCCCATCTACAATATTTGTTTGTAATAAGGGTTTTCCGACTTTCCTAGGTGGACGCACCGTGTCCACCAACCTGGTTAAAGCGTCGGACATTCGCTTTTCGTCCTCTCAATTTCGTAAACAACACCCGTAGTGTGAGAAGGTAGTGAGTAGAACTTGCGTGACTGTGGCTGTATACGCGTGTCCATGTAAAAGCATTCGGAGAGGAAGAGTTGACTCTCACCACCGTCGGTCATACCAGGGCATTTGGGGCAATTAGTAATCATTCTCTCTGTGTTTATTGCATCCCTCAAAAATTTCTATACTAGCTAATTTATCTCTTTGTTATTGTTGTAAAATGTTACTATTGACTTTAAATGTGAATTACGCTTCCATTAATTATGTTGTTTCGCTCTTGTATCCGTTTTGATAATAAGCACATCTTTCTAAACTTACATTTTTCAACATACTTTCTACCTTTAATTTGTCACTAAGTTAGGTAGTTTTATTAATGAACTCATCAGATAAAGATTCTTGTATTCAGCTCCAAGACACACTCTGAATATAAGGATTAGTAGTGCTGCCCAATTCTCTGAATGAAATTAGGCAAGACAGGGTTTGAGCCTAAACCACTAGGTCACCCCCCCCTATTATTGGTTGAATTCTGATTATAGCTGGGATTGGAACTGTACGCAAATAACTTGATTGTTTTCAATATTCCATAGTATTATTCTCTAACTTATATTCTTAGGAAATATATAGTTACAAGTTCTCACTATCACAGACGGTCTTGTGAACATTTGTCATGGTGATGATATCATAAATCTGTCGACTGGAGTTATATAATGTGTGTGCACATATTGGGATCGGAAAGTTGCCTGAGAAAAGTGTAATTTCTCTCTGTTTGTACTTCTCTATACAGGTATATAGTATATTTTCGTTTATTGTGAAGTTGATCTATCAATAACAAAATACAGAATCTAATGTATCCATGTTTAAGAAATAGTGATTTTACAAAGAAGTAATAAAAAATGTTCGGGGTTAGAGGTCATCTTTGGGAAACCTTGATGCTAGGTTTCGTGGTAGTTCTAGTTGGCTCTCTTCAACAAGGTGTGTCTATAATCTTGATGCGACTGATAGTTTTTGATAAACTCAAACCTGGGTCACCTAGATTCACTGTCTCAGACGCTACCACTGAGGTGTTTGGGCTATAACTGACATTTATAGGACAAATATTTACAACTGATTGATCACTGTGCAGTGATGATTGTCACACTGAAAATTAATTGACATAATATGATCAACTGGTAAAGGTTTAGACAAACATGGTATTGACCACCACTCAGTAGTTGTATTTAATTAAAGCGTTGTAGTGGACAATTATTTATACACACTTATATCAAAGATGTATTTTACTGTTCGTAGAGGAAAACTACAATAGGATGGCTGTAACCTTTACTTCTGATTAACGTCCGAACTCTGAATCTTAGTCCCTTTAGGATTCAATTCAACGGATACAACATACAATACAACTCTATGTATAAACTGACCACATCTCTGTTTATTCTGTTCAGGTTGACGAAAATCATAACAGCATCAAGAATGTCATAAATTGGCTTAATTAACTTTGGTTTTAATTATAATTAGTTTGATATGTAGTTCACTATCACACTATTGTTACATATACGGGTACTCGGAATTACCGACCATTTTTCTCAATATATCACAATAGATAAGTGGAGATGGAGATGTCTACTACAACAGAAGTGTTTAGCTTTTTGACTAGGAATGCACAGGTAATTAAGATTATTTTGAACAGAGTCTTCTGATCAACTTGGGCAGCAATGCAAATATCTTTGTGATGTGATTCTCTTCCCCACCCACGATCCTGCACTCTAGAATTGAACACAAAACCTTTGGTCTTACGCGAATGCTTAACTTATACAGCACATTGTTAACGGCTAACTTTAACCAATCCATTATGTTCATGATTTAAATGAAATTCAAGTATATCCAAAACCAGAAACGGAAAACTATCTTGTGCTCACCAGTGGCTAGCTTCGATTGGTCGTTCTTGGAGTTCTTGTGAAAAGCAAGATCGTGGATACGCGTCGTTGAGTAGCTTGATAAGAGGACAAGACGTTCATCCAATGCTTTCAGGTTTCCAATGTTGGTCTAATATTGATCGGTTCATGATTTCAATAAAACTTTACTTTCTATAAGCTATTCATTCTTATGAAGCTCTATTTACGTTCAAACACTTTAAGCATAAGATATGCCTACTACTCACCTATATATATGCAAAGAAACATGAATAAAATGAATAGTTTGATGATGTTGCAGTATCTTCAAAGTCTCCTACAATTGTACTTCCACTTTCTAAAATCAGGTTAATTTCAAGCATTTTTACTAAAGCTATTCACTATTATAACAATTCTAGTCATGATTACTATCCATCAAATCAATATATTCACGTGTATGGACATGTTTAAGACATACATAGTTATTTATTTATTTAAACACATAAATATTGGTACAAAGGGGCACCAGATATATATGCACCACACAAATCTCATTTGATTTGTGTGAGGGCTGTGATACTGCCCAGGTGCCCAGACCGAAGCTGGTGGTTTTCTCAAAGAGCCACACCCGGAGCCTTTGACATAAAGTTCTGATCCACAAGACAGTAGAGCATCGTGAGGAGATGCAGTCTCATGGTAGCCAGTGACCAACAATTGATTCATCCTCAATTTGTTCCTTCAGGATACTGGAGTCAGCCCATGTGAACTATTGGTTTGGAATGAGGGTTTTCCAACTCCCCTAGGTGGACTCTCTGTGTCTACCAACCCGGTTAAAGCTCCTCTCGGATGTTTGCTTTTCGCCCTCTCACTTTCGTGAACAACACTTCTGGTGTAAGAAGGCAGTGAGTGGGACTTCACTGGCAGAGGCTATGGGAAGTAATTCATACCTGATAACTTGAATTTATTATTGTTCTATTCTAATCTTCTGAATTCTTCATGTCTCTATCTTTTCTTCTCTTTTCAAATATATTTCATTGGATTATACTCCTTGAATAACATCTTCAAACCCTAATCTTTCAGATTGCTACTTGTACTCACACTACTTCTACCATTATGGGATTTGAATCAACAACTGCATCTCTGTACTAATGTGGTATGGCAACTCGAACTGATGCATGTACGTACTAAGTTCTACGCTGTGACTGACTGATTGGTTATTGTTCTTACTGTCAGATAGCATTGTATAAACCAAAAGAAAACCTTGTACAACAATGCTACTATACTAATTTACAAGTTAACAGACAATGTAAATAATAAAATCTAGTTTCCAAGCAATCTATTTTAAACTATACTCATTTTTATGTCATGGCTATTGACCCTAGGCCTGAAATCGATAAAGATGAAGGGGTATTAAAATCTACCAATTATTTTATAGAGTTGAGATCATGAGTCATTTGAAGCTAGACCACCTGGAAGCGCTGGATGGCCGCACTTGACTGGCTCCATGAGGTATTTCCTGGAGTTCTAATGAGAAGCAGTAACCAGTGGAGTTCAACCAGATCTTTTGGGAGATATCAACTCAGTGATGACATTGGTTAATGGTTGCTTAATTTCGTGCATTGGTTGAAGTTAGACATTAACACCGTTGGATGCCGACCGGCTCAGTGGTCTATCAGTTAAGTGCTCTGATGCGAGACTGGTAGCTCCTGGGTTCGAATCTCGCGAGTGCGGGATCGTGGATGCGTACTGCTGAGGAGTCTCATTAATAGGGCGAAACGGCCGTCCAGTGCTTCCAGGTTTTTGATGGTGGTCTAGCTTCGATTGACTCATGATATCAACTCTATAAAATTACTAAAATCTCCACCAAACCCCTTCTGATAATTACCTTATTGTTAAAATATCCAGTTTTCAATCATTAGAATACAGATTTAAACTCTGTTCTATTTTCTTTGGTTCCAAAGTAATATTATTAACTCTTATACGAAAATAAAAAGATGGCATATTGTATACGTTGATGAAGTAATTAAAGTAACTTTGTCATACCTATGTCTAGTGATTTATTAGAGTGGTTGTGCAATGCAATCAAATTCCATTTATATTTTTTCTCTTATCAGCCCCCAAATGCCCTGGTACGGCCGAGAGTGGGGAGAGTCCGCTCTCCCTCTCGAAATGCTCTCACATGGCCACGCATATTTAACAAATGTCAGGGAAGTCCTACTCACTGCCTTCTAGTGCTGTTACTGTTGTTTACGAAATTGAGAGAACGAAAAGCGAATATCTGGCTCTTTAACCGGGTTGGTGGACACGGAAAGTTTACCTAGGGGAGTTGTAAAACCCTGATTCCAAACCAAAAGTGCACATGGGCTGACTCCAGTATCCTGAGGGAACAAATGGTGTATGGACCAATCGTTGGTCACTGGCTACCATAGGACTGCATCTCCTCACGATGCTCCACTGCCTTGTGGATCAGACCTTTATGTCGAAGGCTTGGGGTGTGGCTCTTTGAGAAAACCACCTGCTACGGTTTGGGCACCTGAGCAGTATCACAGCCCTCACACAAATCTCATTTAATTTGTGTGGTGCATATATATCTGATGCCCGTTTGTACTAATATTTATGTGTTTAATTAAATAAATGAATAAATAAAATTTCATTCAAAAGTCTCATCAACTTTTGTAGTTTCGTAGCTGGTGAATTCCTTATGTTGATACAAAAAAGAGCTCACTCATCTTTCTTTTAGAGTTTGTTTCTCTGAGATAAAATGGTCTGATCATGGAGGTTTTACTGTTCATTTGAACAGCTCACAGAATGAAATTCGAGTAAAATCATCTATCTGAACTAGAAATCTTCTAAATCAATCCTTTTTTATCTGCTCACGTTACCTATGGTTACCAGTTTAGTCAATCAATTGACAATTTTACTATTCAACAATCTTCTCTATTTCTCTGTATGGTAGTGAAATAATGCCTGTAAAATTTAATGGAAACATGTTTAGGTTACATTACATGTTTATGAAGGACCAATGCTAAGGTAAGGCTTACTGTTCAAAGGAAAAAAGCTTAGTCAAATAAGTGACCTAAAGATTATTATCCATTGAGTGATTGAAATAATCATCACCTATGCCTAGTTACTGGTTACCACAATGTACAATCCTCTCTTAGATAAGAATATTTTTAACGAAAATTAGGTGCAGTCAAACTAAGAGTCCATATAATCATTAACTGTTGTTCTGTACTGTATCATACTATGTGGAATTTCTTAGTAGGATCCACAAAACAATTATTGCCTATCTTTAATGATATTCTCTATTATGGCGAGAAATCACTTATTACGGTTCATTTTCCCGGGCACTTGATATCAATTTCATACCTCTTTTTCTTATATTTTTGTTATCTCATTCTGTAGTATTGCGAGTTATTACAACGTAGATCCATTCAAATTTGCCGTGGGCTCCACGTTGCATTTAATTATACTACCTTCAAATATATCACTGTTGCATTGTGATGTAATGAGAAATCATAACTTCGACTGTAGAACACTGAACACATGTCATCGATTTACTGATGTTATTTATCTACCTCCTGTTCATCACATTAATTATTAATAAATTGGTACAAAGGGGCACCAGATACATATGCGCCACACAAATCTCATTTGATTTGTGTGAGGGCTGTGATACTGCTCAGATGCCCAAACTGAAGCAGGTGATTTTCTTAGGGGACCACATCCGGAGCCTTTGACCTAAATGTCTGATTGACAAGGCAGTGGAGCATCGTAAGGAGATTCATTCCCATGGTAGCCGGTGACCAACAATAGGTTCATACGCCATTCGTTCCATCAGGATACTGGAGCCCATGTGTACCATTGGTTTAGATTCAGGGTTTTCCAACTCCCCTAGATGGACGTTCCGTGTCCACCAACCCGGTTAAAGCGTCGGACATTCGCTATTAGTCCTCTTAATTTCGTAAACAACATCCTTAGTGTGAGAAGGCAGTGAGTAGTATTTACGTGACTGTGCCTATATACGCGTGTCCATGTGAGAACATTCGGTGAGGTAGAGTTGATCTTCATCATCGTTGGTCGTACCAGGGCATTTGGAGGCTATTAATAAATAGTAATCATTTTTATCAGTGTTTGAGTACAGTTCGATGTGTTTCTTCATATGTGTGTGTATGTATGTATCGACGTCTCCTGTCAAGGAATGAAAGTTTCAATATTTAGTAGCTTTGATTTATATATAATATCTAAAATCTTGCATCTTATCTTTTTGTTTTCTAGTCGAATCATGACAAAAAAGAAACTATCCGAGAAACATAGACGTGAAATATCCAAACAGCATATTCTTAAACAAACTAATTCACAAGGAATAACTGTTGTAAGTGAATTTGTCCGAGGATTTGTACGACGTCATGTCATTGAAAAGCAACGTAATCAATCTGATTTATATTGGCGTCCAGGTTCTAATGTCAGTCATAATATTAATCTATTACCACAATCCACTAAAATACGTAAATCAAAAAGAAAACAATTATCTTCCACTGATGATTTTCCTATCAAAGTGAAACGTTCTCATTCAAAGAAGAAATCTTTTTCAAAATCAATAATCAATCATAAACCATCAGCGATACCATCAAATTTACCAATCAAATTACATTATTTATGGAATGGTTATTTTCAATCAGTTATGTCAATTCTACCATCTAAATTAAATCATAATCATTGTACTAATTTGAATATCATTAAAAATTTAGATACAATTTTACGTTTAAATTTAATTGGAGCACAATTAAAAATTTTACGTTCAACATCATGTCGAGTATGTTAAAGTAGTTTTGTATTTCTAATGTAATGATTGTATTATGATTTGATTAAATCTTTTTTATATTATAAGTTGGCACCAGTGGAATCCAGTTTGACGCGCGTTTCGTCCTATTTGGGACTGGTCAGCTGGATGTACTTGCATCTCAGACTTATTGATGTTCACCCTGGGACTCGAACCCAGTACCATTCGCTTCAAACGCCATCACGTTATCCACTTAGCTACTGAGTCCTGATAGCCTCCTGCTTGTGCAGGGTAGGGTGAAGTTTAAATTCACTTAGTATTGTTTATTTGAATCTTCCCATTGATGCTTAGGACTGCAACTGGTCAATTTCTTATTGGCCATATGTGCATACTGTGCGTATTGCCTCGATGGTGTTTGAAGTGAAAGGTACTAGGTTCGAGACCCAGAGTGAACATCAACAAGTTGCAGGTACATCCAGCTGACGAGTCCCAAATAGGACAAAACGTGCATCAAACTGGATTGCACTGCTAGCCACTATCCATTTTTGCTTACAAATTGAATTAGTAAGAGTATACTGATAGAGACGAATTCAAAACAACGGCGATTGAGTACTACTATCTGATTGGCGAATAATTTGCTTAGGTTTGTCAATATAATATACTTTTACTTGTTTAAACAATGATAAGTCTCAGGTGAGACTATAATTTATGTGCGACCTTTGAGCAACTCTAAAAAGATCTTGAAAATGTCTATGCACATACTACGGTAAAATAAGGGTTATAAACCAATGTGAGTAATGAAGATTAATGTTTATATTTGATAGTTAGAATTAGGAAATCGATTTAGAGTTTTCGTTATGAACTGACATTAGTTATGATACCAAAACCCTATGTAAACAAAGTGAATGATTTAGTTTCGTTCCAAGATTTAAGACAGTATCATTTCTACAATTGAAGAACATATGGAACTTAAAACAACTGTCAACTAATTTGAAAGTGTGAATCTTCAATAAGAACATCAAGACAGTCAGTCCTACTGTACGGAACTGAAACGTGGAGAACTACTACATCCATCGTCAAAAAGGTATAAGTATTTATAAATAGTTGTTTACGCAAAATACTCAACATTCACTGTTCGGATACTATCAGCAACAGCGTTTTATGGGAGAGGACAAACCAGCTTCCAGCTGAAGAGAAAATTAGGAAAAGACGTTAGAAGTGGATCGGATTTACATTTCGGAAATCATCAAACTGCATCACAAGGCAAGCCTTAACTTGGAATCCGGAAGGGAAGCGGAAAAGAGGAAGGCCAAAAAACACATTACGTCGGGAAATAGAAACAGATATGAAAAGGATGAATGTTAACTGTAAAGGATTGTCCAGGACAAGGTTGGATGGAGAGTGCTGGTGGGCGGCCTATGCTCCTCCACGAGGAGTAACAGGCGTAAGTAAGTAAGCTGTCTTATATCTGATTCGTTTGTCCACCAAAGTTTTAATAAACACTCTTTACCTTTTTATATTGATTATTTAATTATTATTATTATTACATTTTAGGCTGGTATAGAAGGTATTGTAATCATGGAAACAAAGAATACATTTTGTTTAGCAACTAAATCATTACATAATCAATTAATGACTCTTACTACTATCCCAAAATTAGGTTCATTATTTTTACTTACTTTACCTCAAATGATGAATAATCAATCAAATAAAACTTCTACTCATCAAAAAATTGAAATTCTACTTAATGGTGATCATTTAATTCATCGTGCAATTGATCGAGCTATACGTAAATGGAGATATATTCCAACAACAGCATATGAATATAATCAAAATGCCTTAACAACTGAAGCTAATTTTTCTAATGTATTAATTGATTATGTAATCAATAAATAATTATTTATTTTATATAGGTAATTTGTTATGGTTCATATTTGGATGGGGGGAGGGTTTGTGAAGATTTTATCGTCGATTGAAGCTGGAGCACCATGGAAAACTTGGACGAAACTGTTGACCAATGCTTCTAGGTTTTTCATGGTGGTCTAGCTTCAATTGACTCATAATTTCAACGATTAAAAGTTCCTTTTTAGTTGAACTTTTTTGTAAGTGACTCAATGATTATTTTGTCAGTGAGAGAGAAAGAGACGACAACTTCAAATTTTTGAGGTAATTATGATTGTATCTGATGAAGACTGGCAAATTTGGAATGATGGTTTGTATTGATTACTTTAAAAAAAACAAGAGTCTCCAGTTCTAGAAATGAATTAGACAAGCTATTAGTGGACACTGACTGATCACGAAGTAATGACCTGGTACGGCCGAGAGTGGGGAGAGTCCGCTCTCCCTCTCGAAGTGCTCTCACATGACCCCGCGTATATGGCCTCTGTCAGGAAAGTCCTACTCACTACACTGCTACTATGTTTAGTAGCATTCCAGAATTTGGAGGGAAACCCAAGAACTTCTAAAATACTATAAAAACCCTATATTTTCTGTACATAAATAAACCTTTGGAGTAAAGTGCTTCTTGCATATTTTGCTCCTTTTCTCTCGTGTTCAAGTCTCTGTGTAGATTTAGCTTGGGGGTTACGGGACTAGCTTAGGATCTGAGTATAGCGTTCAATTAACATGACTTATCAGTGAGAAGCGGCTTTCATTTTAGTGGATGAGACATAAACCACTGTGGACTTCACCTCCTATGGGACATATATATATATATATATATATATATATATATATATATATATATATATATATATATCGATTCAGTTCGACGAAATAAACTGTTTTCCTCACTTTCCATCTTTTGTCCTGATTATTTGAGGTCTTGTATAAAGACGTGCATATCAATATCAACTCTTGGACACCGTACTTCACAATAGAGTTCCCTATTCTTTCATCGCATCCTCATATTTTCATTGTAAAGTATTTCTAACTGTCGTTGCTGTTATATTATTTCAATTCCTTCGACGTCTACCTTTTTAAATCCATTTTGTTGTACTTACTTACGCGTCTTACCCATCATGGAGGAGGATAGGTCGCCCACCAGCATTCTCCATCCAGCCATGTTCTGTGCAATCGTTTCCAGTTGTTTACAGTTGCTATTGATCCTTTTCATTTTTGCTTCCAATTCCTGATGCAGGTTGTTCTTTGGCCTTCTCTTCAGTTTTCCTTTACAAGTTAGTGCATGCTCTATGATGCAGTTTGATGATTTCCGCAATCAATGTCCTATGCACTTCCAACGTCTTATATTAATTTCCTCTTCAGCTGAAAGTTGGTTTGTTCTCTGTCACAGTAGCTTGTACTTATGGTATCCAGTCAACGGATGTTTAGTATCTTGCGTAGACAAATGTTTGTAAATACTTTTACATCTTTGATGATGGTTGTAGTAGTTCTTCACTCCCAGTGTTGATGTTCAATCTGGGAATGGAATCCAATATCTTCCGAGGTAGTCCACCCGGGTTACACATGTTACAGAAGAGATTAATTGGAATGTGGACCTTAAAAATAAAAAGAACCAGAAGATTCAAATAATCAATAAATCATAAGATGCATTCCTGTTGTACAAGTGATTGCCTTTCTAAAGTTAGTAGCTCAATAGATAAGGGATTAGTGGTTTGAAACGAAAGTTTCTAGATTCTCATCCCAATGTGAACATCAACTCTTTAATGTATGTAAATTGAACTGCTAAGCTCCATTTGGAATGTAACGCTTATCCCAGTATCCATTGTTAGATACTATTCACTTTCACTAAAATAATTGTGATTTTTAAACCTATATAAATAAGTCAGAATGGTTTTGTGGATATTTCAATAGTTGAAATCATCAGTCAATTGAAGCTAGACTACCATGGAAAACCTGGAAGCACTGGACCGCTGTTTCGAATGAGGGATCGTGAATGCGTACTGCTGAGGAGTCCCATAATAGGACGAAACAGCTGTCAAGTGCTTCCAGGTTTTCCATGGTGGTCTAGCTTCAATTGACTCATGATTTCAACTATGAAACTATAGAAATAAATTTGGAGAAAAAAAAATGACATTTACAATCTTCTAATTTGACCTCAAGATGTATTGATTTGAATTTTGACTTATTTTGTTGTTCTTCTTTTGTTATGTAATATTAGAAAAACTGGTAAATTTTTGTACTATACCTATCTCACTTGAAACTTTCTGAAATAAGGTCATTTAAGTTTAAATTCACTTGGTGTTGTTTACTTGTATCTTCCCATTGTTGTTTAGGACTGCAACTAGTTAGTCTCTAATTGGCATATGTGCATACTGTGCGTATTGCCTCGATATAGCCTGAAATCACAGGCTTTATAAACAAAGATGGATAGTGGCTAGTAGTGGAATACAGGATGCGCGTTTTGTCTTGTTTGGGACTTCTCAGTTGGATGTACCTACATCTCAGAGTTGATGTTCATTCTGAGATTCGAACCCAGTACCGTTCGCTTCAAACGCCATCACGTTATCCACTTAGCTACTGAGCCTTGGCAGCCATTTTCTTGTGCAATAAGGTGAAGTTTAAATTCACTTGGTGTTGTCTACTTGTATCTTCCCATTGTTATTTAGGATTGCAATTGATCAGTCTCTTGTTGGCATTGGTTTAAGTTTATTGGACAAATTGTATATTATATTTAATCAATTAACTGACTAACTTTGATGATCTTCAATTATAAACTTAAGGTGTATTGTGTTAGTTAGTTATGTGGTCTGAAACGTAAGGAGATGCAGTCCCATAGTATCCGGTGACTAATAATTAGTTCATACGCCGTCTGTTCCTTCAGGATCCTGGAGCCCATATACACCATCGGTTTGTAATCAGGGTTTTAAAACTCCTAGGCGCATTCACGATCCCGCGTCGTGAGGTTCGAACCCAGGACCTTTCACTGTCGCGCTCGAATGCTTAACCTCTAGTCTACTGAGCAGGATTCAACAGTGTTAATGTCTAACTTCAATCAATCCACCATTGTTTTCAGTGAGTTACTATTTTACAACAGACCCGGTTAAACTCCACTAGTTACTGCTTCTCACTAGAACTCCAGGAAATACCTCTTGAATCAAGTCACTAGTGAGCATATCTTGATTAATATCAGAAGGGGTTTTGTGGAGATTTTAGTAATTTAATAGTTGAATTCATAAGTCCAGTGTTTCCAGGTTTTCAACGATGGTACAACATCAATGGACTCATGAATTCAATTATTAAAGAATTAATTATTAAAACACTTTTATATGAAAACTGAAAGGTCAACTAAATATATTCAAAGTAAACTGTAACAAAGAAAAATAAAGTACATAAAACCAATAGGATAATCAATCTGGTTAGTAAATCAGTATTACCATGGTAGGTTAAGGGTAAGAACAAATTGTTTTTAAACATATAAAGAAGGTTTCAATTTCTGTATAACCAAGGCTTAAATACACCTTAGTATACACTCTTAAAGGCTTCTTTTTGTACAACACAATACAAATCAGTCAGTTAGTCACAACGTAGAACTTCTTACACTATAAATACTAACTTGATATTAACCCTATGATCAATCTCAACCAAATATTTTCACAATGATATAAGATATCTATCTATCTATTGTATAATCTTGTTTGACCATTGGAATTCATTTATTTCTGCAGTTATTTGGGAATATTCAAACAAATAATACTAAGGGAATAATGGTGTTTGTTTTAAAGAATATTCGATTTATTTTTAAATCACTTTTATTTAATTAAATATTTTCATCAATAATATCGGGACTCAGTAACTGAGTGGATAAAGTGATAGCGTTTGCAGTGAAAGGTACTGGATTCGAGTTCCAAAGTGAATATCAACAAGTCTGAGATGTAGGTATATCCAGATGGCGAGTCCTCCCAAATAAAACAAAACGCGCATTAGACTGTATTCCACTGGTAGTCACTCTCTATCTTTGCTTATAATAATATACTTTCTTGTCATTATACATATTTAATTTAAATTATGATCATTGATCAATAAATCGATCAATCAAAATAATCAATAATTTGAACTATTTATTTATCTTATTCACACACACACACACGCACAGAGAGATATACGTGTTTATATATGGATGTGAATGTTTGTATGTGAATGTATTAGGTATGTTGAATCAACTCAAAAGAATTTTTTAGTTTGTTCTTATTAATAGAAATAAAGAATTGTCTTCCAATTATTAGAATATAAATAATATTGGCAACATGATAGATAAGACAGAAATGACCTTCAATTTGAGATTATTGATTAATTAATTGATTGATTGATTGGATTAATACCTTTAAATTAATGGCAGTTGTAGTTACTTAGAAACTAATTGAACTAAAAAATATACATAGATCTCACTCATTAGGGGTTTTTTCCAATGGTCATTCAAGCCAATTAATCGAATTATCAGAAGTGGGGGGGGGTTTGGTGGAGATTTTAATAATTTTATATCGTTGAGATCATTAGTCGATTGCAGCTAGACCATCATGGAAAACCTGGAAGCACTGGATGGCCATTTTTTTCTATTGTGGGTTCAAATCTCGCGAGGCGGGATCGTGGTACGCACTGCTGAGGAATTCCACAATAGGATGAAACAGCCATTCAGTGCTTCCAGGTTTTTCATGGTGGTCTAGCTTCAATCGACTCATGATCTCAACTATATAAAGGTAATCGAATTGTTTATTACTATAGTTTAGATGAGTTTATTTATTTGAATCCATTGAATATAATTTCAGTGATGGAATATTTCTTTATGTTATAACTCAATGCCTTGTGCTCCTATCAATATATGACGTAACGATACTGCCATTTAGAGAACCGTGAATTATCGACCGGATCTGTTATATCTCGAACTTAGATTCTTAATATGTCGTGTGATACTTGATCACTCGAACGCTAGAACCCTCCCAAGTCGTAAA